GCGCCCAGGGCGAAATGAGCCAGGGTGCAGTCGGGGAGCTCCAGGACGAAGCGGCGCGGCGGAGCCATGGCCCCAGCGTAGACCCCGCGCCGCCCGAGCAGCTGCCCCGAGAGTGGCCGGCGCAGAAGCGGGCGGGCGAAGGCCATGGGCGTCTCAGCGACGCCGCCCTCGGCCCCGCCTCAGAAAGGAAACCCGGCGGGAGCCAGGCGTCGGCGGGAAATGAAACCTGGCGGGAGCCAGGCGCCGGCGGGAAACGAAACCGAAGCGTTGCGGGGAAACGAAAGCCAGAGGCCCCGGCGGGGCAGGAGCCCTGAGGCTGGCGCGCTCTTCCGGCCTCTCCTCCTCGCCGCGAGATTTGCGCGATAAACAGCCGGCGCTCGGGAGCAAACGCTCGGCCCCGGGGCCCCAGGTGCGCGGCGCCGCCGGCCTGCGCGGTCCCCAAGCGCAGGCTCCCGGGGCTGACACCGAATGAGGCCCTGTGTCCTCGGCCCCAAGGTAGCTCCGTGTGCGTTCTGCGGGTGGCTGGCGGTCCCGACCCTGGTTTGAGTTGCTCCTCTGCGGCATATGCTGGGTGCATGGAGGGGGTGGGGGTGCACGCGCGAGGGACAGAGGGACAGAGAAGTCCCTTCCCGGTGTAACTGGCTCTGAAACGCCCACGTGCAGGCGCACTACTGCCCTTGGATGACTGACCAGGCCCTGCGGACCGTGGGCCCCCTCCCCGACCTCAACTCCTAGCTCTGACCCCGCGTCCCCGCCCCTCTAATCCTGCAGAGCTGCCTTCCTACGGGAACAGGGCGCAGTTCTGGCTCTTCCCTCTCCTGTATCTTATCTCACTTGTTCACTCACTCACCTGTGCACCCACTCACCTGTGTACAAGCTTTTCCCTTTTCCCGGAATTGCCCTCTCCTTTTTGCTGATTCCAACTGGGAAGTGTCGCCCAGATTGGCCCCTCGAAATCGCCTTTCATCCACCAAATTGAAGTTTCCTGCACTAAGGTGAAGTGTGTCAGGATAGCACCCTCTGCCTGCCACAGTCCAGCATCAGCACTGTTGCTGCCCAACAGTGTAACTGCCCAACAGTGTATCAGTGTTTGCCCAGTTATATGGATATTTTATTCTGTGTTTACTCATTAACTGATGGCTTTTAAAACTGATATCAAACAAACAAAAGGATAATATTCTCCAGGGAAACTCTCTCAAAAATTTAGAATTGAGACAAAGATTGAAAACATTAGATGAGCTGAAAGCAGTTATATTTTTTATGTCTTAATAATATTGGGCTTAAACTTGGGATTAGGTTTAATTCTGAAAAAAAGTATTTTTAACAAATGTGAAATATAGATAGATGGTTGGAGTGTGGGTTCATAGGCTAAGAAGAATTAGGAGTTTAAAATTTTTTAGCTCTTGGAGAATAGAATGATTTATCAGGAATTTCACTTTTGGACGTTTAGCATGTGCGAATGGTTTCACGTGTATGTAGTGTATGAAAGTAAGAGTCTCCCAGCCACTCCCTTTTCTTCTCTAAGACAGTACTGCATCCTCAAGCCTGCTGGACGTTTTCCCTATGCCATCCACCTCTCTGGATGTATTAGTCTATCTTGGCTGCCATAACAAAATACCACAGACTGGGCAGCCTAAACAATAGAAAATGTATTTTCTCAAAGTTCAGGTGGCCAGAGAAGTTGGAGATCAAGTTGCCATCAGGGTTTGCTTTTTCTGAGGCCTCTCTTTCTAGCGTGCAGATGGCCGCCTTCTCTCTTGTGTTCTCACGGCACCTTTCCTCTGTACTTGCATCCTTGGCGTCTCCTTGAAAGTCCAATTTCCTCTTCTGGGAGGGACATCAGTCATACTGGATTAGGGCCCACCATAATGTTCTCATTTTAATGTAATCACCTATTGAAAGCCTTATTTTGAAATAAGTCATACTGTGAGGAACTGGGGATTAGGGCTGTAATGTGAATTTTGGGGGACATGATATAGCCTATAACCCTCCACATATCTGGGTTAGTAGCCTCTCCTGTATCCCCCACCAAGGCTTTTTGTATCCTCGGACTTTAACACTCCACAGTCACTTGCCAGTGCTCAGCTCCCACCACGGAGCACCTAGAGGGTAAGTAGGAAGACTAGCTTCTTCCTAACTTTTCTCTGAGCCTCCAACTGAAAGAAAACCTGACATACAGTTTGCCAAATGAAGCGTCCTGTGTTTTTTTAATTTAGGTTTTCCTATTTTTCACCTACCTTTGCCCTGCAAAGAGATGTAAAGTTAATAACACTGCGGTATCTGGGCTTAGTCAGTATTATATAAGTGTTGAAGATGTTGAAGATATATCTTCATTCATAAAGAAACATTTCTGTTAGATTTTCAAGCCCCTTCAAATTTGTAGGACAGAGACTCTGAGAGCCACAGCTGGATGTTTATATTGGCTAAACGTGTCTGTAGCAGCCCACGCTTGCAGGTGGAAAGGAGAGAAGCTGCAGGCTGGGAAGATACTTCAAAGAGGTGTCTTTAAATGAATGAATAGCACAGCTGTATCATAGGAAAAGCCACAATCTTCAACATTTACAGTATTAAACAAGAGAAAATGACACTTTTCTAGCCATTCTGCTCCTAAGAAAGAAAGAAATAGAACAGAAGAATTAAAAATATAAATAACAATTAATAAATAATAAAATGAAAAAATAACGTTTTGCAAAAGAGCTTAGTTTTTGAAAACATGTTTAAACAGATGTGCTTCCAGGTAGTTTATTCAATTGGAAAAAGAAAGAAAATGCAAATCAGAATAGGAATAAATGAGATGATAGAACCACAAGTTGAAAAGGATGCACAAAAGAGAATATTACAAACAATTCCACATTCGTAAAAGTGAATATTACAAAATAAATGATAAGCTCAGAAAATAAGAATTAATAAAATGAGCCCAGGATAGAGTGATGACTCTATAACCCAAATCCGAGGCTAGAAGTTAACAAAAGGGCTAAAAACACTGAGCAACTTTCAGAGATCAGGTCTAAGTAAATCATAAGCTGCATGAAAAGAAAGTTTATAAAAGCAATTTTCTGTGCAGCAGGTTGGCTACAATTGAAAAGAAATTGTATATGAGTCTTTCTCAGGATTAAACTTTGATGTTAAAAATACACTGATACAGAACTTTAAAGTTTGGTCCCCTGTATTAAAACAAGGTTTTCTTAAAATACTGATTTGGTCTTAGTAAAATTGCAAGAGTAATTTTTAATTTGCAAATCTGTTCCCTTAATAGTAATCCTCTAAACTACGAACAGTTTCTGTTTCTGGCATATTTCCTCCTGAGATCTATATAATTTTCCTGTTTTCAGGTTGTAAATGCAGCTCTCTTTCTCTTGGTCCTTGAAAAGGTAAATTCTTTTTGCATGGCCACATGATAACCATCTCCTTCAACCTTTTTGTCATCTCCTGTAACTTTTTCTCTGGTTCTAACACTGCTGTCATGGCTTGATGCTAAAATGTTTATTTTGAAGTTCTAGAAAACCAAAGTTTTCCTTCATTATAACTTGATTTTACACTCTTGGCTTTTCTTGGTGTGTCTGAATTGTTCCATGTAACCAGGAAGCTTCCTATGCTGTTCCTAAGAACCAAGGATTTCCATGTTCAAGGTACTAGTTTTCTTGTTTACATTTCTCTATAATAGCATACGCTTAGAATTCTGGATACATTCTTTCTGTGCCTGATTAAATTCAAATACCCTTTGCATCAGGTTTAACTTTCAGGTTATGCGAATGGGCTTTCCATAAGGAGAAGCAGTCATACTAAAGAGGTTTGTTTCCCCTTTACCTATTAGATAACTGGTCTAGTAAGCTAAGAGTCTGCGTTTTACTGAGATAATTCCTTTGCTTCATGTTGTTTTTATTAGGCTTTTCATTATTTAGGGAAACTGAACTTTAAAAAAAGGTAGGATTTTCACATCCATGTAAATCTGTATTCTTTTTGAAGTCTTCTGATTATCACTTTGTTTATTTAGCAGTGATATATGATTCTGGTTAATCAAGTATTTTGAACCTTTTGACACCTTTGGCAGGTTTCCTCAATACCAAAACCCTAAATTAGGACTCTTTGATCTTGTAGAGATACTAAATGATTAGACTTATTTGGCAAATCATATGCGAAGCATATCAAATGAGAAATTGTATTTAACTCCCTTTAAGTTATATTTATATAAATATGTTACTAATATGTGTTCCAGATTGCATGAGATCTTAAAATTCCGAGATGTTATATGATATGGTTTAGATTTGTGTCCCCAGCCAAATCTTATGGTGAAATTGTAAACCTCAATGTTGGAGGTGCAACTTGGTGGGAAGTGATTGGATCATGGGAGCAGGTCCTCATGAATGGCTTAGTACCAACTTGGTACTGTCCTCAGGATAGTGAGTTCTTGTGAGATCTAATTGTTTAAAAGTGTGTAGCACCTCCCCCCGACCAACATCTTTCTCTCTTGCTCCTGCTCTGGCCATGTGAGACATCTTCTCCCACTTTTCCTTCCGTCATGATTGTAAGTTTCCTGAGGCCTCCCCAGAAGCCAAGCAGATGCCAGCATGATGCTTCCTGTACAACCTGCATAAACATGAGCCAATTCAACGTCTTTTCCTTATAAATAACCCAATCTTGGGTATTTCTTTACAGCAATACAAGAATTGACTAATATACCATAATATGTGTTATCAGTCTTGAGTATGATTGTTTTGTTAAATGATTGTGTGCCACAAAAATATCTTAATTTTCTTTTAAATTTTCTTGCAATTATTTCTACATTCTTTCTAATAATTTCCTTGTAAACTCTCATCAGAGTTTTGATCATGGCTGTTCTGTATTTTTCTCCTCCACAATTATTGTTTTAAATTCTTCCCTAGTAGCATTTGCAATCAGCTATAGCCCAAAATTACTAATTAGAATTAAGGAAAACAAATAACTGAAAGTGAGTAATTGATAAGGATAATTTTATGACTTTTATTTAAAATGTTGGTTCTAAAATATTTTTTCAGATTCAAGAAATTTTTCTTTCATTAGCTATAGTTTACAATAATTTGGTGAAGTATACTTTTGTGAACACCAGTGGAAGCATTTGCCTTACTCCAAACTTGAGTCCTCCAAAATTCAGACACTATTTGTGAGCATTCTTACTGTGTTTCTGTAAGTTCAGTAAACATCTGCTCTCCCTTTATAAGCAGGATACTATTGGAAATACTGATTATATTACTAGGCTTTGACTGAAAAGTCATATTTAAGAAGGGTCATAAAATGCCTGGCTTCAAGAGTTCCCAGCCTTATAGTGAATGCATAAAACTTGTCACTTCCTGCTGGGCCCAATAACCTTAAGACCCTAAGTAAAATCTAAAGCCTGCCTTGATTTGGCTTCTTAACCTCTAGAGGTTCTAAAACCTGAAAGTTCCTGTATGATTAATGTGGAGAGAAAAAGTCATGTTCTTAAGAAAAACTAACATGCACCTATTATTAGCCCTGTGCCCTGTTTTCAAGTTCTGGTTTTCTACCTGTAGACTGGACTGGATCCTGAGTTCTCCTAATTTCCTACAATATCTGGCTACAATTAAACCCTGATAAAGTTTACCAGCCCTCTTCCCTCAAGCAGAACTATAGAGCCTCTCAGGACATTTCCCCTACTCGAATTACTCAACTAGGGGAATTAGGTATTAAGATTGGAGAAAACTCATCAGAGCTCTGGTCAACACTGGGGCTACTCTGTCCATCCTTAACCCCAGCATGCTTTCCGTGGACCCTCCCCAGGGTTCTGAATTCATCCAGATGGTTGGGGTAGCCAACCAACCTATGATGGTTCCTAATCTTCACCTATCCTTTTCCAACTAGTACTCCTCATGGGCAGTTGTTTTTCGTTCGGGCTTCCACACACTTCCTAGGAAGGGACTTCTTAGAAATATTCCAGGCCCGTATTTTATTCTCCCAGAAAGGAGAAATAATACTTGAGTTATCCTCACCAGGAGATTTTGCCACGGAAATACCTTTTCCCAAATTCCCATCTATTCAGTTATCCCCACCAGCACTACCTACCCTGTTCTCTAACAGTTATAATCCAACACTGATGATAACTCCTCAGATTATGAAAATAATAGTTGTTGATACTCTCAAGGATATAATTCATCTAGAAGAGTTAACCCTAGAAGGAGCTAGATTAGGAAGGTTTTTTGGGTCCCAATTTAAACTAGATTCTGCTTGGAATTCATAAATGATCAGAAACCCTTCCTGAACTGTTCACAGAATTGCCTGCTCCACCACCCAAGCGATCAGAGTGCAACAGAGGTCCATAGACTCCCTTGCTCGTGTGGTCCTAGACAAACACATTGCTTTAGACTCTCTCCTCCCTGCACAGAGTGATGTTTGCGCTGCTGCTGCCACTTTCTGCAGGGTAAATACTTCCAGGCAGGTTGAATTGGGAACATGTAAGATCTTAAGGCTAGCCAAATCTCTGAAAAACACCTTCAAAAAGCCTCCTGGCTGGACTTTCTAGGTTAAGTTTCTGATCTCCAGATATTTCCAGCTGGCTTCCGCTGCAGTAGGGTTCCTTCTGCATGCCACCCTACAAGTCTTGATCCTCCTCATGTTTGGCCTAAGCATTTGGCGTCTCTTTAAGATTTTCCTAGCCTATTTTAACCGATGCCTGCAAGAGACCCCCACTAGAATCGTGCTGACCTAACCTTTGAGACTTCAAACTTTCTCCAGCCAGAAAGGGGAACCAAGTTAACCCAAAAGAATTTGACTCAAATTTAACAGGTACCTGTATGCCTCTCATGATCACACGTGTATGCAGAAGTGAGATCTAGCAAAAAGTGATTTTCAATTGTGCAAGACCATGGCCTGAGTGTTTAAGAAACTTTGGGCTGAGATTTCAAGGACTTGAGATATAGCTACTGTTGAATATTTGGTAATCATTAAGCAGACAATTTTGCAGATGTTAAATGTTAAGTTAAACATGTTTAATGTTTTATTTTAAGTAAAATAAGTCATTTCTGTTTCAATTCAGAATATGACAGTATCAGAATAACAGGAGCTAACCCTAACTGAACACTTAAAGTTTGCCAGGCAAACTTCATTTCTCTGAATTTCTCAAAAATTGGCAGTTTTACTCTGCACAAAAATCGCATGAGATATGCAGCTTTGCTGATAAAGAAATGGAAATCCAGAGAAATGAAGTCACTTACTCAAAGTCACCCAGCTACATGATTTGTGGCTCTGGAAGTTCAGCTACTAGGACTCTTCCAGCTTTCTACAGGTGTCATGAAAGCACAAGACCACACACACACAGCTCTGATGAAAGACGACTGAAAGGAAGATTTCAGTGAAAAGGTCAACAAGGCTTTCTAAGAAAACTGTAAAGATAAATAAACGATGGGTCGCAGTAATTCTCACCAACTAGGAAGCATCTTAGAAAAGCACTGGATTTCCTCTAACTAAAAGCATCTATAAAAAATGATATCAAAATACAGGAAGATGTAAATACCTAAATTCTAACACTGTCACCTTGCATACATTAGGCTGAATAGCTAATGGACTAAGACATAAATTCAATTTTTGTTCCATGCGTTTTTACTGTGATCTGAAAGGGGTCTTGAGGTGAATGATCCTGTACTCATCCTCCACCAGCCAATCAGTCTGTTTATTATTTGGCTCTAAAAAGAAACTTTTCCTGAGGACCCCCCCCCACCCCCACTATGATGGAGCAAAAACTATTACTTGGCTATGTCAAGAGAAAGCAATGCAACAAGTACAAAGCATGCTGATCAATGCCCCTGTGTCTATCTCTAATCAGACAGAAAGCTGGATATTGATAGAGACTGCTATCCTCATCTGTAACTACATCAAGCTAGAGAGACTGTTATAATACAAGTGGTCTGAGGCAGCCCTGAGTAGAGAAACCAGGAATGCTGGTCCCGATCTCTAGTCTTCAGTCTTGGCCCTGTTTCAACTTTCACTTTCATGTGTGAAAAATCGAAACTCTAACTCAACTGAGTGTTGGTCAAAGTAGGTGTGTCCTGCTCCCCATGACAGGTTGCTCAGAGACTGCTGATTTCCACCCCTATATAAAGAGAGTCCCCGGCATACAGGGACTGCTGTGCTCCAGGCGTCTGTCACCATGTGGGTACTCACGCCTGCTGCTTTTGCTGGGAAGCTCCTGAGTGTGTTCAGGCAACCTCTGAGCTCTCTGTGGAGGAGCCTTGTCCCGCTGTTCTGCTGGCTGAGGGCAACCTGGCTGCTAGCTTCCAAGAGGACAAAGCAGCAGCTGGTCTGGAGAGAGCCAGATGAGACCAAAGAGGAAGAAGAGGACCCTCCTCTGTCCACCACCCCAACCAGCGTCAACTATCACTTCACTCGCCAGTGCAACTACAAATGCGGCTTCTGTTTCCACACAGCCAAAACATCCTTTGTGCTGCCCCTTGAGGAAGCAAAGAGAGGATTGCTTTTGCTTAAGGAAGCTGGTAAGTCCATGGTCCCAGACAGAAATCAGGATTCTCAACCATTCGGCAGTAGGGTAAGGCGAGAAGGGGCTGGGGGCACACACACGCTGGTGAGCTTCTCCAAAACTCAAGGTCACCATTTGCCATTGCACGGTGAGCATGTTGTCCTAGGAGAAAATAATTCAGTGAATTTTGGAGTGGGCACCTAGTCCTTCCTAAATCACAGAGTTGGCCTGGAGCAGGGGATTTGTGGAGCAAACCTGTCCCTCCTGCCACTTGGAAGTGAGCAGGGGTCTATGCAAAGGGCAGGTCCCTGTTACACTCGGTGTTTGGAAAGAGGCGGTTTGGGAAGATTGTACCACTTTCTGAGTTTGCCCACAACACTAATGAATTTGGGTTTTCTAGAAACAGTTATTAATAATTAGGAAAGTTGGAAACAAAAACAAAAACTTTGACGTAAAAACAGCAGCGGTTGAATCTTATATTTGAGTTTGTGTATATTCTTTTAATAGGAAGCCTTACAATTTTTTTGGCAAATATGTCAAGGACTTAGCTCTCAAGAATGCTTACTGAGTATCACCACGTTAGTAACTGGCAGCATCTTGGAGAGTACTCAGCATGTGACCTTCAAATGCAACATCTTCCACTCCAGATCTGTTCTTCCTTCCATCCTTGTCTTCCTGTCTGTCTTAGAGTACCTTCTCAGCTAGTAACTTCAGCAACATCTCTAGCTTCTTTCCCTCCTTGTTTAACTTTTTAACAAAAGCATAGCATACATGCACCATATTACACATATTCTGGGTGTGCATCCTGATGAATTTCACAAAACAGTCACACTCATTTTCTCCAAACACCAAAATCGCTAAGACAATGGTCATATTGTTGTCTCTTCCTAGAATGTCTGTCCTCAAATCTTTGTTGATGAACTTTCAAAGCTCCTTTGAGTTCTCCTTGGTTCTCTGCAGCCATAATTGTGCCCTTTACTTTTCACTTGTGAACTCATGGCACTTGCTACAAATGTGTCTTGCAGCTTTTTAAAATGTACTATTTTGTTCAGTTTTTTTTTTAAAAATATCTGGTTCCTCAAAAAAATTGCATTCCAAGGTTGAATTTTACCCTCCTGTGTATCTTCATGCCTGGCAGAATGTCTAGAATGTAATAGAGGCTTAAGAAATGTTTTAGATAAATGAATGAATGCATGAGTGAGTGAATAAGGAGACATGTCGAGTGAAATTTCGACTTTCATTCAGAAGGCCAGGGTTTGAGTTTCTGCTCTAACATTTTCTAGACTTGTCAAGACATTTAGCTTTTCTGAGTATCAGTTCCATGATCTTTAAAATTATCTTTAGATAATAATGATAACTGATAAACCAATCTCAAAAGTTGGTACAAGGCACAAACAAGTGAATGTTCATGTATTTTGTCATAAAAGATAAATTATTAATAGTTATAATTAATACTTTTATATAATATCCTCTTGTTTTAAGTAAATAAAACCAAAGTTAATTGAAATGCTTACAGGATAATGTAGGTTGTATTTTCCTGTAAGAGAGATTTCTATATAATGGAGGAAACCTATTTTTTTGGTTGTAGGAATTAAAGAAAGAGGAAAGAATCACAAAAGGTGGCTCCACAGTCAAGGACAGGTTTATTTTAGAGAAAACAAACCTGATAGGGGCTTGTGGCTGAGTTAGGTCAGAGCCCATACTCTTACAGACCAAGAGTTTTAAGGATTTAGGGTGGGAGAGTTTATTAGAGGCTTGGACTGCTTCTGTTTCTCTTTGTTGTGTTTATCTGGGAAGGAGAGTTGTGTGTCTGTTACCATACATCTTCCTGCAGCTGCAGGCATACCCACCCTGAATCTGCTTTTAGCTTCCCTATCTTAGAGCACTGAAGAGAAACGAATGTGCTTATTAAGGCCCACTGTTTTACTGGGGGCCATTGTATGAGAATGAAGTTTGGCAGTTACGTAAGAGACTTCCCTCAACCTCCCTCTGTGCCCGAGCTGTCTTATCTGTGTTTTACTGTCTGCTCTTTCTGGCTGCTTGTAGTTAGAAGAGAAGTGACTTCCTTAAAATGCATAAGGCTAGAAAGGGAGCTGGAACTTGAAGTGGTGGTGTTTGTCTGAGATGACGATGTTCCTGCTCTGTCGGTGGTAATTAAAGGTTTACATTTACATTGAAATTTAAATTTTAATATGTATTTTATATATTGTATTTAAAATTAAAATTTACTATTCTGGCTAAAGATGCTTCTAAAATATACTATTTACTTTTCTGGCTTTTAAACTGTTTTGAAATTCTATTCAGAAAGACTGAATAGAATTAAAAATAATGAGCATCAGATCTGGGCTGTAATATGATGACTCGTGCATGTTAACACTATTGTAAATCAATTACTCCTTGTCTAAGATCTTAACTATGCCTCTAAATTCTATTCCTTCCATTTCCTTATTCTTCCATCCCTTCTAAATATAGTCCTCAAAATTGTTAGCAGTTCTGTGCCACTGGCCAGGCCCCTGTCTTACTTTCTACAGTTTATCTGCCACTACGTCACCACACTACTTAGGTAATTATGTTTTATTTGGTTTTCGGGTTATAATGAGTGTCACTCAAGCTGCCTCCCAGCATGATGGATCATAAATAGGTGGTATAATGTCTCACTGTCCAATCATAGAGATGTCTGAGCGTGAAAGGGGGCACTAAAACTCACAGATACTGTTTTGTTTACCATAAACCAAAACTGTTCCAGGCACACCAGCCTGGAGGCTTCTCTACTTATAAAGACTCCAGGCTTTGGATCTAGGCATGTACCTTAGCTCTACTTTTCTCTTGTCTTATGATCTTCAGCAAGTTGTTTAACCTTTCTTGGCTTCAATTCTTGCACTAAAAACCAGATAATAATTCCTTCCCCATGGGTTATTTAAGGGTTGAAAGCTTTAACCATATTACCTTGGGTGATGTATGGTGAGACCAGATACAGATTAAGAGAGACCAAAAAGAGGTTTGCACAGGCTCACTCTCCTAGAATGCAGGCAGGCAGGTGTATGACGCATAGGCCTGTCCCTCTAGAACGCAGACTGGCAGGTGTATGGCACAAAGGCCCATCTTCCTAGAATGCAGGCAGGCAGGTGTGTAACACATAGATCCATCCTCCTAGAATGCAGGCAGGTGGCTGTATAACGCACAAGCCCATCCTCCTAGAACACAGGCAGGCAGATGTGTAAACGTAGACCCCATCCTCCTAGAATGCAGGCAGGTGGATGTGTAACGCATAGACTCCATCCTGCTAGAATGCAGGCAAGTGGGTGTGTAACACATGCAAGAGACAGATGTTCTTCTCTGAGAAAACAAAATGACCCCAAAGTAAAGACCAAGGATATTAGCAGTTGGAGGTTTTTCTGTGAATAAACCGGTTTACCTCTCTGTCTCTCTCTAGTGAAACCCTCCTTTGGACCAGCCCCTCCCTTCATCATATAAATTCCATTCACTTATTTTGTGCCACACTGAAATTTAAATGAACAAATAAAAACATCAAAAGAAAAGGCAGACACCAAAACAAATACCCAGAGAGGATGTAGGAAGAAGAAAACTTCCAAAAAAACTCTAACTAGTAATTGCAGAGAGATAAGAGAAAGAATTGCATATATGAAACAAGAATAGAATGCCTGGAAAGGAATAGTCAGAATATGGAAGTGTCTGGGGAACTAAAAATGGGGTTCCTAAAATTAAAATCTTAATAGAAAGACGAAAAGGCAAAGTCTTGCCAAAATGAGACCAAAAAATCAGGATAGATATAGAAAGGAAGATGATAAGAAAATAGTTAAATTTAGAAACTCCAATATTCCAGTAATATAAGTTCCAGATTCCTGCTTTTACATTTTTTTCAGGAAGCCTGTAAAGGGATTTTCTAAAATAAGGGAGTAGCCCAAGAGAGAGGGCGACACGGAATCCAGGACAAGGAGTGGGGATGGGAAACGCAGAGTAAGGAGGGGTGTTATTCCCAGGCTGGCAGCTGGCCTGTGGACAGTCACACCGCATGGCAGGGATGTGGCTTTCTGCTTTGCAAATCCTGGTGCTGCCTCATTGTACCCTTTGGTGTCTGAGCAATTCTATTCATCTGTGTAACCAATTTCCTGCATCCCTGTTTAGACCCCAAATTAAACATATGCTATTCCCATTGGGTGGGATTGGTGTTGAGAACTAGGGTTAGGGGAGGGGAAGATAATGAGAAAATTTTATTTCTTTTTTTTTACATTGAGAAAATATTACTTTTGCTATTAAAATAATAATGTATATTTGTGAAGTGGTAAAATTCATGTATCACCTTGCACAGGTATGGAGAAGATCAACTTTTCAGGTGGAGAGCCATTTCTTCACGACCGGGGAGAATACCTGGGCAAGTTGGTGAAGTTCTGTAAAACAGAGCTGCAGCTGCCCAGCGTGAGCATCGTGAGCAACGGAAGCCTGATCCGGGAGAGGTGGTTCCAGAATTATGGTGTGTTTCATGGGATGGCACTCTCCTTACTGCTATTGTTATTGTTGGTTCCTGTATTTCCTTCCATCCTGGGCCTTCAGCCAGACCTGCTGAGGAGAACTGGAAGGGAGGAAAAGCTAATCTTGCTAACTCTAATCGCTTTTCAAGCTGTGCATGGCATTATGGCAGTTTTACTTCCTTAGGGCTCTCAGTAAACAAGTTTGGCAAGTTAGATAATAGACCTTATTACTGAGATGACTATCTTGTACATTGCAATTTAGCAAATACAAGATCTATGGCCTTAGTTTAGACACTAGGTAGGAAAATTAACACATTTGACAGCTTTGTAATAAAATATCTCTGTTGGGACTGGACTGGATCCATAGACTAATTGTATCAGAACCTCGTGGTGTGTGGATTGGCCAATATGGGGAGCTCCAAGGGATTCTACCGTGTAGCCAGAATTAAGAACCGCTGAATTCTAAGTCTGCTGAGATTCCTCGCAGTTTTCAGCAGATGTCATGTCCATAGAGCAGTGCTTGAAACTTAGCAAGGGCTTGGAAAACATTAGCTCTTCTTATATGGACTGTCATGTTGGGAAACAGGTATAACCTATTATAGTAAAATTCTCTGTTCTTGTTTATATGAGCTGTTCGAGACTTGAAGTCTTTCCAAGAGAAGCTGCATTTATAATCTGTTGAGGATGTTGCTGAGACATCTCTGGTACACCATCTGTGATGGTGCGGACATGGACTGTGGGGGAGGGACGCTGTGGATGTGGGTTGGAGGGTCCATCTGATAAGGGTTAAGCAGGTAGAGAAGAGTCAAGGTGTCAGGTGCAGGTGAATCAGGAAAGGCCTACAAGGCAGCGTGTAAAACCGAAACGGTAGTGAAGGGAGGCACTTTGTCACACAGGCGGTCTGAGGTTGAAAAGTGAACTTTGGGAACCATACTCAGAGAGAGAAAAAAGAAACTGCGGAAGCAGTGTGATGGAGAGTACCTGGCGGGATTTTCTGGGTGGGTACCCAGCCAAGGCCCTTCCTCTAAGATCAGTCATCCAGGATGTCTTTGTGGTGTACAGATCAGGGATAGTGCTGCACGTCCAGGTCAAATCTCTCAGGCTTGTGGGAGAAAATGGTATAAATTAGTGAATTTAGAAGCATATAAGAAAAGTCACTGTCAGCAGCTTGGAGACAATAGGAAAGCACAAAGACTGGAGGACGGGAAGCACTGTGCCCTATTCCTATAGTGCATGGGCGGAGAGCCAGCTAAGAGGTTTCATTGATTTTTGTGCAGCAAGATAATTTGGATGATCCTCAAATTATTAAACATAGATCAAAAATATACAATTATAAACATTTGTAAATAATTTGAAATACTTTTAGGCATTGTGAGGAACAAATGTATACAGATGCCTATCTGGCCCATAAGCTGCTAATTTTCCACCTCTGGCTCAATGGGTCAGGGATGGGTCATGTGCTTGAGTGGATGAAGAGAGCTGTTTTAGAACCCCACTGCCTCGCCAAGTTTGGTAATTTGCTAGAAGGACTTCCAGCACTCAATAGCCAGCTATACTCATGGCTAGGGTTTATTGGAGTAAAGGATACAGAACAGAAACAGCAGGGTAATGACATATACATATATCACCAGAGTCCAGAGGGTCCAGACACAGGCCCTGAGTCCTTCTCCATCCCAGGCCTCACAGGTTGTACTTTCTCTCTAGCAGTGAACTACAGGGACATAGTTGGAATGTGTTTGCATAGGAAGGTCCATTTGAGTCTTAGAGTCTGAGGCTTTATACAGGGCTGGTCATTTATGCACATGCTGCTATGTAACCAGCTATTGGAACTGAAACTCAGGACCCCAACAATGCAACCAAGGAAGTCGTGGATCTGGCTAAACAATCCTGAGAAGTCTTGACAAGTTGATTTAACATGCTCCATTGCCCCAGGTTTATACACCTCACCAATGATAAGTAGAATATTGTAGTTGCCATATATGCAGGGGTTGGCCAAGATTCCACCATGGTTCCGGGTTCTGGAAAGATATAGGGACTGAGCAAACAGATCTGTTCCATTAAATCTTTCTTCCCAAGAGTTTTGGCAAGGAAAAGCTGAGAACAGGAGGATAGTTATCATGGACATACAGCAAAAGTTGGAAGGGGAGCAGAAGATAGCAATTGACTTACAGATCCTCAGATGACTTGTCTTGACTTTTGCATAACTGATAAGTCTCTGCATTTTTGGTTTTGAACTTAATTTCTGGTCTGTTTGGAGATCAGGTGCTCAGTGACTTGCCTTTTCACAATGTGATATGCCATTAGGAATTTATTTGAGATCAATTTTTAGAATGTTTCGAGTTGTTTTAAATCATGGACAGTTGCCTTATTCTGGCTCCAGTTTATGCTAGATGTTTTGAGGGCATATGTTACATATGGATAAAATAAAATTAGCCCAAAATAGGAGTCAAAATGACTCCTTTTGTAATATTAGAGGATAGCTGCTTAAAGAGTTTTTGGAATTTCCAGCTTCTATCATTTGAAAGTAATTTTAAGAAAAGCAGTCAACTCTTAAAAAGTCACAAAACTAGGAAAACTCTGATTTAATCAACTGCAAGGAGTGACTCAGCCATCAAGAATGCCTGTACTTAAGAGATAAGTGGATAGCATGAAGGAGCAGAGGAAACTGGAGGGGTAATAAGAGAGGTGGAGCAGAAACTAGTGTGACAGAAACCAAAGCGAAGGTAATTGTGAACACTTTCTGTACTCCCGAAATGACATGCTATCACAGCTCTTCACATACCATGTTGCAAGGAGGGTCTGTTTACACTTTATTCCCACACCAGGCTTCCCTTTCTCTTGGTTTTCTTGGCGTCTAACACAGTTGTCATTGACATCACATAGAGTGTTTCTAAATATTTAGATGATGAATCAACTATTAAGGAGATGTCCGGAAGAAGCTGATGAACTTAGCAAAAATACTAGGGATCTTCAGCAGAGCAATTTTATCTGTGTGATGGAAAGAAAAAGAAGTAAATTTGTAACTGTTCATAAATAAGTCTATAGGCATCCAAATATATCTACCTGCCTCAGAAATTACATACTTTGTATGCAGGAATAAATGAAAAACCTGTTATATTTAAATATGTCAGTAAGTGCTCACACACATACATGTGCAGAGTTTTCAAATAATCAACTAAGTATTTGCATCCGTATTTTACATATATATTTAGTTTTTCAAGTTTATTTGACATAAGAAGAAAGTATAATTCATATCTCAGTGAGTTTCGTGGGTATAAGGAAAAGTGTCTTTTTAAAAATTAAAACAACATATATTTTATCACAAGAGATATAATAGCCTGAGGGGCTTGGTGCTTGGATAGAAAAGTTTAAAAATGATCATTTTCCCTCAGGTGAATATTTGGACATTCTCGCTGTCTCCTGTGACAGCTTTGATGAGGCAGTCAATGTCCTTATTGGCCGTGGCCAAGGAAAGAAGAACCATGTGGAAAACCTTCAAAAGCTGAGGACGTGGTGTAGGGATTATAGAGTCGCTTTCAAGATAAATTCTGTCATTAATCGTTTCAACGTGGAAGAGGACATGACGGAACAGATCAAAGCACTAAACCCCGTCCGCTGGAAAGTAAGTACACAAGGTCGCTTTTGCTGATTTCCTTCAAGAAAACATTCAGGAATGACTTTTTTCAATGAAACTGAAAATAATACTGACACAAGAGAACTCTGAACCTCGCAAGCCGGTCCAGAAGTCAGATTCTTGGTCTTTCAGCTCTGTTAGACTTAAAACTGTACTTTTCTTTGCCTTACTTCCCGTTTCTGAAGACTTGAAATGATTTCCTTTGGAAATATTGTGAGGATAAACATAAAAAAATATGCTCAGTGCTTGGAAATGTTTGGAATAATATGTTCATAGAAAGCCTACATTTCTTTTTAAAACTCTTGGCTTATGAATGGACAGATACAGGTTCCTCATAAATTCTGATGCAGTGAATTTCTAGAAGACATTAGGGGTAAAGTCATCCCCAAGTTGTAGCAAAATGGAACCTTTACTCCCAGATTCATGCTTTAGGGCTGGCGCCACTACCAGCTACTAAAAGCCTGAAGTCCACACACATGCAAGCCAACTCCGTATATGCAGCTCCCACCGTGTGCAGACATGCATGACTCAAATCCCAGGTTTCTACCTTTGCTTGTCAGAGTCAACTCAGGAGGCTGTTTAAAAGCAGTTTCTTGGGCCTCATACCTGCTGTCCTGAAACAAGGCCTGTGGTGAAGGCAAGCATAGCAGCGAGGGCTTGCACAAGCATGTCTTTCTAACAGGCAGTCCTGGGGACTCTTGTATAGCCACCCAGCGCCTGTGTCTGGAGCCCAGCATAGATGCAATGAAAGATAAGATGCAGAGCGCAGTGCTAGCACAAACACACAAAAAGAGATGTGGGAAAAGTCACATAATAGAAAGCTATGTGTGCTATCATACCGTGAAATGGCAAAAGAGGCTGAGCTTAAGCGGAAGGCTTCGTATAGGAGGAGGCATTTGGCTATGCTCTGAAAAATGGAAAGAATTTTCATAGGTGGCAAAGACCTGAAGAAGAAAGCCACATCCAGACTAGAGGGCTTGCCTGCACAAAGAACAGGTTTTCCTTCAAAGCTACCTTGGCTGTTTCTTTAAATCCCATGTCAGCATTCCAGATAGAGTTAGGGAGGAGGGAAAGGGATATTCTATCATTTTCCTGAAGCTGTCCTGTAATATGTGGAAATGGGTTAGGGGAAGCTGGAGATGCTACTTTGAAAAAATTTTAATAGGTATGTTGAACTTGAACTTTTGGTTACATGTATAAGGACATGAAATATCAGCCTCATTTCCAGGTGTAGAAGGAACTGGAGAAAAGCTAAAGAGAGAGGTCTGATAGGAAAAACAGGAACACGATCCACCAGGAAGGCAGAGGCTCCAGCTGGAGGGCTAAGCTACCTTAGAGACATTGACTTTCCTGCCTGCCCCTCTCCTGTCCCCACCTCTCTCCTCTGCCCCATGTTTCCTGTTACTGTCTTCCTCATTGCTGTCTTTTGGCATCCTTTTTTCAGATGTATAGGTATTTTTTCCCCAAGCTTGGTGTTCTCCTATCTCATGGCCTTTCTCTCAGGTATATTGACTCCTACACTGGCTTTCATTCATCTGATTCACTCTAGATTTGCCATCAAGATCCTGACTCTTTTGGTGGAAGGCTAGCTTCTGCCTGTTTGGAAAACCAGATTGTTGATATATGCAGGCTTCCAACTGATGTAAATTGATGCTCCTGGATCAGGTGCCTGTTCTTAGTCCAATCTTACATTGCACTCAGAACCTGGTTTCCTGAGGCTGCCTCCTCCACCATGAGGCTGTGGGCTGGAAGGTGTCACCAGCCGTGTCCCTGGGACAACAGCACTGAGCATACGATTACTCATTGGGAGGCTTTGTTGTGACCTGTAGGCTTGCTCCAGCAGCATGGCAGGAGGGAGCTCCTTCTACTCTTCCATGCCAAATCCCACGCCCTCAATATTGTTCCCCTTTCAGCTCCTACAGCTTGGTTTTCTCCTGCAGAGGCCCTTCCATTCTAGCTGGCTGATTCTGGAGTCAAAGTCCCTGGGAAAAAAATGCCTGTGATGTATGTCTTCTTTGATAGTCAAGTCTGCTCATGATTCAAACCTACATGGAAGGGCCCTCCCTGCCAGGCCTCTCCGTACCCTGAGCCTGAATGGGGCATGGGGATGGGTGATGATCCCTCCCAAGATGCTCACAGTCTTTTAAGGAAGAAACCATGAAAGCAAAAAGCAAAGGGGACAGTGGAGGCAAATATCGAAAGACCGAGGAGCAAAAAAGAAGGGGAAAATAAAGAGTGAGCAAAAAAGGCAGCGTTGAAGTGTTGACAATTCCTTCTCATCTGACTGCAGTGGCATCTGAGTGGTTCAGATGATGATATTAGTGAAATTCTGTGTAGAATAATCCTTTCCATGGAAACCCTTTAGATCTGGGCTTGTCCTGGCTCTGTCTTGGGTTAGCTGTCACCCTTTGTCACCTTGGGCAAGTCTCTTCACTTCTTGCCTTTTGTAGGACTGAATTTTATTTTCAAACGGTGGTAGTATGTATAGAATAATACACTTTACACAATCATACATACACATTTGTTCACTTAAAAGACTGTCAAAAGAGAATATTAATGATTTTGAAAAACTGTTCTTAGGTTTTAAGTGAAAAACAGACATACACTAGAGGCTTTTGTAAGAATATATTAAAAATCAGCAGAGAAAACAATGTTTTTAAAATGTGTTTTTCTTGGTTATGGGATTACACATGATTTATTTTTTATGCTCTTTTATAGTTTATATTTTTTCAATAAATACCCATTATTTTGTTGTCAGAAAATATTATTAGAGTCAATCAAACATAATCTAGACAAGTTTTTGAAAGTTTATATTTTAAGGATGTTTGTGCTTCTAACAGCATATTCCTAAATTTCAGGGCTAGCTTTCATTTCCACAAAGTAATATTTCTCTAGAATGTCCCTCAGCTCATAGAGTCTTCTTTACTCAGAAGAAATAAAGCTTGTAAAAGGGGAGTGAGGTTTGGGGGAAAACATAATGGAAGCTCTCTGCAAAGCAAATGCTACCATTGCCTTTCAGGTGTTCCAGTGCCTCTTAATTGAGGGTGAGAATTGTGGAGAAGATGCTCTAAGGGAAGCAGAAAGATTTGTTATTGGTGATGAAGAATTTGAAAGATTCTTGGAGCGCCACAAAGAAGTGTCCTGTTTGGTGCCTGAATCTAACCAGAAGGTTGTATAAAGCAAAAGTTGTTTTATCATCATACATTCAGACTGACTCCCGAGAGGGAAGTCTCTCAGCCAAGGGTCCCACACATCGTTATTTTAGAGGGTTTGTGGTGAGAAGTGGGAGGAGTGCCATGTCAGGGCAGATCGGGCTGAGGGCTGCCATTGGCTCTGCCACCTCCCAGCTGCAGGGTCTTTAGAGAGCTTCAGCTTCTCTATCCATCATGGATACAGTGGTACTTTGCAGACGATACAATTGTACATAGATTCATGTAGATATTCTTTATATATGATTCATATATGTATAAGGTCCCTATGTGTCATACATGTATGACATAGCCCTTAGACATAGAAAGAACTAACGAATACCACTCTATTGATATCAATATTATCACTTTATTTAGTTGAATAATCTCTATGTATAATTTTGTTATGTTGCATAGAATGTAGAAGAAATGTTTCCTGTTTAGTTTTCTAATGGAATGACAATTGGATCCATCCTATTACCACAAATTTCATACACAGATAAAACAAGGTTGGCCAAAGCATGTCCACACTGTGGAACTCTCAGGTATTACTAGAAGCAGGGGATCTAAAGATGTGTTCTCAGAAGCTACAGAAAAAAATCCATTAATAAGGAACCTCTTTATTAATGAAAGATACAAACTTAAAAAAAATTGATAGTATAATTGAATCCATAAAGTTAAAAATATATGTCACACATGTCATAAAATTAAAAGTGAAATATGTTAACATGTTATACTGAATTGTATAAAGTATTATATATAAAAAGTTATTTAAATCAATAATCTATTAACACCAAAAAAGCAAAACATGCAATGGACATAAATAGTTTACAGAAGAAAAACAAATGGTGAATAAATATTTTAAGGGCATTTGATATTGTCTATATTCAAAGAAATACAAAATAAAATATGAAGCATAAAGTTGCAGTAAGAGGCAAGTTCATGTTGTTAGCAGCAGTGTAAATTATTGCAACTTTCCTAGAAAACGAATTGCTAACTTTATAACCTTTAAAATAGCCACATATTTGAATTTAGAAATTCTACCTTAAAACATGAAATATTCACAGATGTAGAGAAGTATTTATGTAAAGATATGTTACTACAGTATTAAGAATAATACTGGCTGGGCATGGTGGCTTACGCCTGTAATCCCAGCACGTTGGGAGGCCGAGGCGGGTAGATCACGAGGTCAGGATATCGAGACCATCCTTGCTAACACGGTGAAACCCCATCTCTACTAAAAATACAAAAAATTAGCCAGGCATGGTGGCGGGTGCCTGTAGTCCCAGCTACTCGGGAGGCTGAGGCAGGAGAATGGTGTGAACCCAGGAGTTGGAGCTTGCAGTGAGCGGAGACCATGCCACTGCAGTCCAACCTGGGCAACAGAGCGAGACTCAATCTCACAAAAAAATAAAAAATAAAAGAATACCAAAAACATTAAAGATAGCCTGTCATTCAGCATAAAGAGAATGAGTAAATCTGTAGGTTCACAGAATGAAATGTTACACTGACTAACAAGCATATTCCAAAAATTTTTAAGTGACAAAGAGAAATTCTGATAATATAATAGTAGGTACAGATAAAAAACAGTATGCAAAATTAATTTGAAGTTTAAGCCTAATGTGTAAAAAAAAGTGCATGTCTACATATTCCTATGGTTATCTTGGAGTAGTGGAATTATGAGTCGTTTTATTCACCTTTTTAACTTTTTGAACTTTAAAATTTTGTAACTTAAGTATTAGTTTTATTATTTTAAAAACAGCTTCTCCATCTGCCATCCAAAAATACACATACAGGAAAATCTACCCCATATGCTTAAGTAATGCTAGGAACTCAAAGAGCAGGCATTCATTCCTTATGTTTTAGACTTCTGAGGCTCTAGGTAAATGGTTCAAGTTTAAAAGGTAATGTTGAAGTGAACACGAATAAGAAAATCCCGGAATGGCGGACAGGATGACCATGAAAAAGAAGAGAAAGGGGGTAGAGGAGGTTTTCCTCTATGCACTATTTTATTTGATATTTTAAAACTCCATCTTAATTAAATAGTTAATATGACATTACAGAAAATCTGGCTGAGTACCTCCTTTGTAAGAGGGGCTGTTATCCCTTTGACTCATCGCCATTTTCACTAATGCTTCATGAGCCAGGTTTTATCATCTCCGTTGTATACACCAAGAGGCCGAGTGGTAGGTGCTCATTTACCAGACTTGTATCAGGGGCAAAATCTGAATTTTGATGACCCCAAAGCCCACGAACCTTTTAGCCAGTTTGTTTCAAACTTCATCAAATCACCTGGGATCTTGTGAAAGGGCAGACCCTTACTCAGTGGGTCTGAGGTGGGCCCACCACTCTGCACCTGGAACTAGTTCCCAGATGATGCTGATGCTACTGGTACCCCACTAGACATTCAATAGCAGGTCTGCTCCTATCCCTGCAGAGGAGTTGGCAAACACTGGCCCCAGGGACGGGTCTGGCCTGCCACCTGTTGTAGTACAAGATGCAAGTTAAGAGTTGATGAGGGAAAACATCAAAACAAGAATCGTTTTTGTGACCTGTGAACATTATGTAAAAGCTGTTTTTCTGGGCCCATAAATTAAGTTTCAGGGGAGCTCAGCCAAGCTATTTTTCTTATGTATCATCTGTGGTGGCTTTTGGGCTGCAAAGCACAGTTGATTAGTTGTGACAGACTGTGTGGCCTGCTGAGCAGAAAATATTTGCTATCTGGCCCTTTACAGAAAACAATTTTGCAGACCCCTATCTACAAGGACAGGGATAGAAGGAATACGTTCCCATCAGCAGGACAGGTACAGCTGCTCTGTTTGTATAGAGGGCATAACTATTGACAAGTAATGTTAGGGTAATATTAAAACCCTCAGGTCAATCCACCTTTGAGCTCCTAAAAGTAGCTTTCAAGAGAGTTCTGCCTTATAAATTGAAAAGGGGGAAATTAGATACATGGTGGACAGAGTCATTGGAAATACCACGTAAAGAAGAAAAGGGCTCTCCAAAAGTGTGAAGGGATGGGGAAATTGCCTTGGAGTTCACTGTCCGGGAAGCCTGCAGGATGAAGGTTCTGATGTTTGACCTTTTCAGCAAAGAGCAGAGAATCCAGGCCTGCTGTGATCTGTTGGAAACCGAATGCACACACACAGAGCCTTGTCTTGCGAGGGCCATGCCAAAGGCAACTCAAGGGAAATGAGAAATGCTGGATCCAAAATAATAACAACGCAAACACTCCAGGTGGACAGTTGAGCTCACATACTGAGAAATGCACCTGAAACTAAATTTGTATTAACTTCTCCTTTGCAGATGAAAGACTCCTACCTTATTCTGGATGAATACGTGAGTATTTCCAATGAGTTATAAAATTATCACTTAATTAATTAATTAGCAGCAGTGGCAGAGTTGAGTTCCATAAGCGTAATTATCTAGTACCTATTTGTCCTTCTTAATTAGCACTTCACAGTTTGATGGTGAGTGATTACGATTACGCCAGAGCCCTCACTTCTCAGGGTCAAACGTGGAGCTAAACACTGGAACAGCACAAGCTTGAACCCAGGTCCCAGCATTGATTTGCTCTGAGCACCACGTGATATTGTCTGCCATATAGCTATGCATCCGTGGATGTCACATGGAACTCGTTATCACACACAACAAAGTCGTCTGTTATGTAGTCCTGGGCTGGAGGCTCTCCTGAGATACGGCATCCAGCCTATTTTGGAGCACTATTGGCCGTGTCACTCTTCTCATTATCTTGGAGAAACCAGACACAGCCAGTTTGTCTTCTGATTGATAAACCTTGGCTTTGGTGAGGAGAGGCTTATGGTTCTGCTCCAAACGCCACTGATATTCCTACCCCCACTGCCTTCCAAAGGAAGAGGGAAACCCACCCTTTCTCAAAATTGAAAAACAAATCACGTCCCCCTTTCCTCTGTCTTTTTTTTTCTAGATCTATAACCTTTGCCACTCTTTCTAGCAAAGGACAAATAAGTCCATTTGAAGACGTATCTTAAAGAAATGAGCTCCAGCCACCTTGAGTTCCATATTTAAATTGGATTTGTTTTTTGGAGAAATGCTTACTGTCACTTTTGATGTTTTCTTTTCTTTTTTTTTCTTTTCTTTTTTTTTTTTTTTTTCTGAGATAGGGTTTCCTGTCATCCAGGCTAGGGGGCAATGGCACAATCTTGGCTCACTGCAGCCTCAGCCTCCTTGGCTCAGGTGATCCTCCTGCCTCAGCCTCCCAAGTAGCTGGTACTGCAGGTGTGCATTACCACACACAACTGGATTTTTAGGTATTTTTTGTAGAGATTGGATTTTGCCATGTTGCCCATGTTGGTCTTGAACTCTTGGGCCTCCCTAAATGCTGGGATTCCAGGCATGGGCCCCCATGCCCAGCTGGTATTTTGTTATTTTCAAGTTAACCAATCAGTGTTTATAGCCATTCATTTCTTAACAATATAAGCTTTCTTAATAGAGCGTAAGGGAAAAGGTGATAAGGAAAATACTCAGTTTCTGGGTCCAAGGTAGAGAGGAAAATTCAAACAATTTATTTTTGGAGTGGAAATTATTATGATTGACTAGGGATTTTGACCAGCATCCCTCAGCAAACTAGCTTGTCTCCATATATTTGGAAAACACATAGTTGAACCAAAATTTGCTTTTACCAATTGAATAACATTTTGCTTCAACAAGTATTACTTGTGCTCCTACAAAACACTCAGTGTAGGTTGTAAGGAGTGTGAAGAAATCATTTCTGCCTACAGAGTAGAATAGGACAGAATAAAACAAATGAAAATGGATGGAATAAGATTAAAACAAAGAGCCTTAGCAAGTCATAGAAGACTCTTGTTGATCTGGCACCTGCCTGCCTCAGCAGCGCCTTTCTTTACATCCTCTCTCCCTTTCTCAAAACAAGCCTTTATTAATATTTACGTGTGTACATGCATGCACTTTATACATGCACATCGTTTCTATTCCAGAAATACCGTCTACCTCCAATTTCCCCAGTACATCATGCTATATCACACTTCTGTGCTTTGATGATACCATTCCCTCCAATTTAAAATCTCAACACATAATTCAGATGTCAGCATTTGGGGGAAGCCTCTCCTGATTACCCCTTCCCCCAGTGGAGCTACATCTGCCCACGCGGAGTGCATATCATTCTGTTTATCGTGCACTTAGGTGTCTACAATGCTTAGCCCAGCCTCTTCCAACAGATCATGAGCCGGTTGAGTAGAGAGATGGGGTCCAAGGGGTTCAATATCAGCCACAGATTTCAAAAAATATCTGTTGACATGACTGGAATATCAAAAGCTATTTGGGATTAATACTGTAGATTGAGTTCTACAGGATTCATCACATGGAAATATACCAGTTTCTGTTATGAATTTTCTAGATGCGCTTTCTGAACTGTAGAAAGGGACGGAAGGACCCTTCCAAGTCCATCCTGGATGTTGGTGTAGAAGAAGCTATAAAATTCAGTGGATTTGATGAAAAGATGTTTCTGAAGCGAGGAGGAAAATACACATGGAGTAAGGCTGATCTGAAGCTGGATTGGTAGAGCGGAAAGTGGAACGAGACTTCAACACACCAGTGGGAAAGCCTCTGGAGTGACTGCCATTGTCTGCAGTGCTATCCCGTTGGTATTTCCCAGTGGCTGAAAACCTGATTTTCTGCTGCACATGACATCTGATTACCTGTGGTCACTGAACACATAAATAACTTGGATAGCAAATCCTGAGACAATGGAAAACCACGAACTTTACTTCATTGACTTATAACCTTGTTGTTATTGAAACAGCACTTCTGTTTTTGAGTTTGATTTAGCTAAAAAGAGGGAATACACACAAGAATAATGGCCCCAAAAAAGCTTAGACAAGGTCCCTATACACAGGACCTGACCTTTAGCTCAATGGTGCATTTGTAAGAAATAAGCTCTAGTGATATCTGTGGGGGCAATATTTAATTTGGATCTGACATTTTAAACAATGTTTACTGTGATTTCTGTATTTCCATTTTGAAGCCATTTCTTGTTCCAGGTTTGTTCGTTTGACAGAGTCAATATTTTTTGCTAAATATCCAGATACCAGTTTTCACATCTGAGACATTATGAAATACCTGCTTCAATTATTTCTGCTGGTTATAATGCTTTTTTTTTTTTTTTTTTGGCCTTTATGCCATTGCAGTCTTGTACTTTTTACTGTAAAGTATAGAAATAGTCAACAGATGTTTCCAAGAATGTATGATATGATAATCCTACCAATTTTCAAGAAGTCCCTAGAGGAGATAACACATATTTACATGTGTACATGCATGCAGTTTATACGTGCACATTGTTTCTATTCCAAAAACAACGTCTACCTCCAATTTCCCCAGTACATCATGCTATATCACACTTCTGTGCTTTTATGATTCCATTCCCTCCAATTTAAAAAAGCGTGCAGCCCTGCGCATGGTGGCTGTTCCGTGAATGCTGGCTACCTATATATGTGTGGTACCTGTTGTATTCCTTTCTCTTCGAAGATCCTGAGCAAAACCAAGATACACTTTCCATTTGATGATGGCGTTGACATGGGAGCAGTGCTTATACTGCTTTGTTCACCTATCATTTGGCCACATGAGGCTGTCAGGCAAAAGAATAGGAGTGTAGTTGAATAGCTGGTTGTCCCTACGTTTCTGAGAGGTGACGGCACACAGGATTGGCATAAGATATCCTAAAATCACGCTGGAACCTTGGATGAAGAAGAATGTGAGCAAGAGCAGAGAGAGTGCCTGGATTTCATGTCAGTGAATCCATGTCACCATATCATATTTTTGAATGAACTCTGAGTCAATTGAAATAAGGTACCATCTAGGTCAGTGTAAGAAGAGTCAGCTTAGAGAAAGCAAGCGTGAGGGAAAATGTCACGTAAACTAGATCAGGGAACAAAATCCTCTCCTTGTGGAAATATCCCATGCAGTTTGTTGCCATAACTTAGTATCTTATTGCCTAAAAAATAATTTCTTATCATTGTTTCAAAAAAGCAAAATCATGGAAAATTTTTGTTGTCCAGGCAAATAAAAGGTCATTTTAATTCAGCTGCAATTTCAGTGTTCCTCACTAGGTGGCATTTAAATGTTGCCTGATGTCATTAAACACCATCCAGAAATTCTGCTTCATAATCTGTTCTCAAGACTTGGTGATTTTGAAAGTTTTGGTTTTAGTGACTTTGTTTCTCAGAAAAAAAAATAATCCTACTTAAATTTTAAGTCACTATAATTCAATTTAAATATGTGCGTGTCTCATCCAGGATAGGATAGGTTGTCTTCTATTTTCCTTTTTACCTATTTACTTTTTTGTTAGAAAAGAGAAAAATGAATTATAAAGCTGTTCCCCATGAGTTTTGATTGTATCTAAGCTATGATGACCTTCATATAATCAGCATAAACATAAAATAAATTTTGTACTTAACATGAGTGCACTTTGCTGATCCTTATGGCACGGTGGCTCACGCCTGTAATCCCAGCACTTTGGGAGGCCAAGGTGGGTGGATCACGAGGTCAGGAGTTCAAGACCAGCCTGGCCAACATGGTGAAACCCCGTTTCCACTAAAAATACAAAAATTAGCCAGGCATGGTGGCATACACCTGTGATTCCAGCTACTCAGAAGGCCCAGGCGGGAGGATTGCTTGAACCTGGAAGGCAGAGGTTGCAGAGCTGAGATAGTGCCACTGCACTCCAGCCTGGGTGACAGAGCAAGACTCCATCTCAAAAAAAGAAAAAAAAAAAGCAAGAGTTTAACAAAGAAGGGTCACATGTGTGAAAGCCCCAAGGACACTGTTTGATATACAGCAGGTATTCAATCAGTGTTACTTGAAACCAAATCTGAATTTGAAGTTTGAATCTTCTGAGTTGGAGTGAATTTTTTTCTAGCTGAGGGAAACTGTATTTTTCTTTCCCTAAAGAGGAATGTAATGTAAAATAAAATAAAACTATAAGCTATGTTAAATACATTTTCAGCTATTTTATCCACTATTATTCACGTGCCATGCCTACCTCCCCCCCCGCCCCCCACCGCAACCCGCCACCGCTGCCTAATGCACTGGTAGGATTTGCAAGGCCTTAATGTTTAAAATAAAGGGGAGAAATAAGGACTTCTAACATTACAGTAAATTCAAATTCAGTCTATATAGTGTTATGCTTTAAATTTTCAGGGCCACTGGGGTATGAAGAAAAACTCCTGCAGCTAGCTCAGCATCTGCCCAAATGGCCACCCAATTTTGTGCTTGAAACCCAGGGCCTTGGTGGTGTAGGCACCCGAGGGAATCTCCTGGTCTATGGTTTGTGAAGACCATGGGAAAAGCATAGTATCTGGGCTGGATAGCACCGTTCCTCACAGCACAGTTCCTCACAGCTTCCTTTAGCTAGGGGAGGGAGTTTCCTGACCCCTTGTGCTTCCTGGGTGAGGTGATGCCCTACCCTGCTTTGGCTCACCCCTCCATGGGCTGCACCCGCTGTCCAACAAGTCCCAATGAGATGAACCAGGTACCTCAGTTGGAAATGCAGATATCACCCACCTTCTTTGTTGGTCTCGCTGGGAGCTGCAGACCAGAGCTGTTCCTATTTGGCCATCTTGCCAGTCCTCCAAGTCAAGTTTAATTATACAAAAACCCCATATATGCTTAGGAGAACTATAGCAAGTCCACCTCAGATACTACTAAAATAAAAGATCAGAAAGATTGTAACAATATTTATTTTTATTATTAAAAAACACACATTTGGAGGATATTTGAAAACAGTAAAACAAAATGAAGAAAATTAAAATTACCCATAATTGTGTCACATAGAGGTAACTGGTAATTTAGCTTACATCTTTCCAGTCATATATATTGCTTAGTAGAATTGCATTCACACTCAATAATTTTATTTTTCACATGTCTTCTGAAGTTTTTTAAAGTCAGTTAGCATTTTATACTTTAATGAGAACAGCCAGTTCTCAGCAATTCACACTAATAGATCAGAAAACATTCAATGGCATTAAAAAGTCAGAGTTAACTTGAGAAAAACCACTGGATTTGGTTTTTGAGTTGTTTACATATTTGTTTATGGATGTGAGTGTTATCCTGTTAATTTTGGCAATATTCTCTACACACACACACACACACACACACATAAAAACAAAGCTTCTCTGTGAAAGTTCATTCTTGGGGAATCTGGAAAACTGCCCAAACATTGTTTATTTTTTTCATTCAGGGCCACCTCAACTTGTTTCTAAACCCCTCTCAGCAACACGTCTGAATAGACTGACCTTTGTCAGTTCTCTTCCTGGGTTATACTCAGCTTTATCTTTTATGTTTTCTGACATCTACTCGTGTGAATAACCAGAAAACCTTTGTATATATGTAGCTGGTGCCATCTGCTTTTGCGAAGAATACCTCATTTTTCATTAAATCGTAACTCAGATATCACTGTTTCCTGGAAGCCTAGTAGACAGCAGGCATTCAAATGCTGGTTGAGTCAAACTGACCTGAATTAGTCAGCTCAGGCTGCCATAACAAAATACCATATACCATGTGGCAGAAACAACACACACGTATTTCTCTGGAGGCTGGAAGTCCAAGATCGGTGCCAACTGTTTCAGTTCCTGGTGAGGCTTCTCTCCCTGGCTTGCAGATGGCTGCCTTGTCCCTGTTCTCATATGGAAGAGAGAGAGAGAGATCTCTCTCCTCTTACAAGGCCACCATCCTTTTGCATAAGGACTTCATTTGAATTTAACTACCTGCTAAAGACCCTGTGTCCAGATACAGTCACACTGGGGATCAGAGCTTTGACATGTGAATTTTGGAAGGAGACAATTCAGTCCATAGCATGACCCATCATTGAAATAGTAAGATGTAGTATACCTAATAGATTTGACATGACTTTGTTGCCATTTAATAGATTTGACCTGACTTTGATGGCAATTAATAAAGCCACTTCTATTGAAATAGGCAGTGCTGTGAGTAGTATGACTTGGTGACACCTGGAAGTTTCCTATTGCCTCCATCAGCTGTGACAGAGCCTGAAATATCTTCGTTGTGATTACGCTTGCAATTTCTCCGCTGATTTTCTGTAAAACTGAGGGAGTTTGGGGAAGTAGCAAACATTAATCTTGTTCTTCCAGTTGTCGTGGGGATGAGTCAGCACCACCTTTCTCTCAGGTATTGGCCAGGAGAGGGAAAAGAAGGGAACAGAGAGCAAACTGAAGCTATGTCCTACCTATTTGCCTACCATAACCTGGTGATGCATGGCAAGATCCTTGTAGTTGAAAGGTTTAATTCAGGAACAGCTGGGTGCATGTCTACCATGTGGTGAGACTTGTGCCAGACGCTATGGGGAATATCCAAGAAGAAGTTGGGCTTTTCAACTTTGAGAAATTTGCAAATGTTGGATAGGACAAGAGTTAGACACACGAGAGAGTTAAACAACTGAGTAAGAGAGGCAAAGCAGTGATAGAAAAGGCACAGGCCAAGGAGACAGCCCGGCTTGAGCTGCAGTACTGTGTTTGATTAAGGGTGAGATACTTAGGTTCACAAAGGCCCAGTTTCTTCATCAGCAAAATGAGGGATCAATGCAAAGATTAGAGTAAGGACTTGAGTTAATTACACAAACAGCTCCTGGTGGCCTCTGGTAGCTACTAACAGTAACTGATGAGTTCACATCGCGTGAAAGCCGTCCTTCATAATCTGAGGTAACGCAGGACAAAATAGATAAAATCTCATGTCACAGTTTCAAGTCCTGATAATTGTCGTGAGCAAAAAGAGAGGACATTTGGGTTTGGGGGAGGAACACCTTAGAGAACAGGAGGCTTAAGACGGCTGCCCATTAGTTCACTTACTCATTTAGTATGCACCTATGATATATCAGGTTTTACAGCAAGTGCTAAAAACACAAAAATGAGCATGAGATTGCTTTGTTGCTAAGGCGCTCAAAGTTTAGTGGAGAAGGCAGTCTTGTAAACAAATAGGTAAAATAAGTGTTGAAGGATGGTAGAAGTAGCAACAAAGTTTTCACACACACACACAAAATACATGGCTGACTCTGGTCTCGTCTCTCATTCTACATCTTAATGGGAATATTGAGATGAGTGCCTCCCCAGAGCTCAGGTCTGAAAATTTCAGTAGAACATAAACTTCTAAAAATGTTCTGACTACTCATCCATAAAAAAGAATGAATTAATGGCATTTGCAGCAACTTGAATGAGATTAGAGACCATTATTCTAAGTGAAGTAATTCAGGAATGGAAAACCAAACGTTGTATGTTATCACACTTAAGTGGGAGCTAAGCTATGAGGATGCAACGGCATAAGAATGACACAGTGGGCTTTGGGGACTCAGTGGGAAAGGGTGGGATGTGGGTGAGGGATAAAAGACTACAAATTGGGTGCAGTGTGTACTGCTCGGGTGATGGGTGCACCAAAGTTTCACAAATTACCACTACAGAATTTACTCATGTAGCCAAACACCACCTGTTCCCCCAGTAACCTACGGAAAGAAAAAACAAAACAAAAAAACGCTTTGCTCTGTTTTGTGAAGGGTCCAATGTCGGCCTTCAAGTGGCCTCAAAAATCAGAGACACAGAAATGTGCAAAGCAACTGGATATAAGACAGCACAGGGTGGTGGGAGCCAGGGTGAGGTAGAAAACATACTCCTCTTAGAGGCATTCAAGTTTTATAAAACATGACACTCCCCAAGTGAAATACCTCTGAAGATCTGACTTGTCTTATCAGATGCCTGTCTTCAAATTCAAGTCTCAGTGCCACCATGACTATCCCCTAATGTATTCAATGGTATGTCAGGCATTAGCTGTTCACTGAAAACTGCTAACCTTAATCATTGTTCCTTGAAGGAAATATTTTTACTCCCTATTGTAAAGACGTTGAGTAGTCTTTCATACCCCCTTCTGTGAACATGAGAAAATTATACTTTCTCACCTTCTTTCAGTTAAGCAAAGCTACTCGTTCTGGCCAATGATGAGTGCGTTTAACTGCTGGTACAAGGCTTTACAACATTTGCTTTTGGGTCCATAGTGATTACAGAGGAGGCCTAATGTCGAGATGGCTGAGTCTAAAAACAGGCAACCTTGATCTTGTGTGCTTATTGGGAGGATAGTATTGAAGAGACAAATATGGTCATAGCAAACTGCATATATGGGACTGTTCACCTTTTGAGATTACTTGTTACTGTAACACAGATTAGCCAGTCCTAACCAAAATGATCCCATAACAAATAACATTCAGATTGTCTAAGGCTAATGATGGAGATACAATTTCAGTAGGGGTTAAGGCATTTGGACTTCACAGTCCCATTTCACAATATTGACCAAGATTTACATTCTCCGTGGGGGTGGCTCTACAACTGATAGAATCACAACAATCTCGGCCTTGGGGGAATGCGCCTACGCCTCCTACCAGTGGACACACGATTCTTCTCTTAAACTATATGGCCCTTGAGGGTAGAGAGCATATTTTAGCAGCTAACAATTTTTGAGCCCTGAAGCAGGCATGGCAAGTATGGTGTTAAGTGCTTTGACTAATTTTTATTTTAAATGCTCAGAGAAACCATATAAGAGAAGTGTAATCATCCCTTATTTTATAGCTGGAGCGGAGGGAGTCTAACTGACATGACCGCGCGCATAGCTAGATCTTGATGGAACATAGACTGACTTTGGTGGCCAAGCCCAAGCCAAGCTCAGGGAGATGGCTTTGTCCTTCTTCCTTCCAAACTGCCTGGGACTCAGCTTCTGAGTTTCTGGGTTTTATTTGTTGTTGTTATTTGTTTGTTTCAATCCGTGAAGCCTGCTCCCCTCTTGATGATGAGAAACTGTGAGTGCATGTCTTCTTTGGAGGAAGTGGCTTGTGGCCTTGCCCTGTGATCCTCTGATAAGAATATGTTCTCAGAAATACAACCCAATAGACCAAACTTTCACACAAAGATATGAAATGAGAGAAGAAGGAAGGAGAAGACAGATGGATAGAGATCTTCATACACGTGCAAGATGGGGAAAGGAGAAAGAGGAATTTGCATTCTTTCATTGGAATATTACATTCTTTCATGTCTAATGCCAAACATACAAATATAATAATATAATAAGAGAGTAATAAAAGTGGTGTGAGCACAACTCAGCAGAAAGATTGGCTAACCCAGCAGGGTGACAGAAATGTTACTAGAAGTGTCAGTGGTGCACTGAAGTTTAAAAGAGTATGAGAAATTTTCCAGGCTGTCAAGGCATGGGGATTTGATGAGAGTGTTTGCGTTAGTTATTGTTGTTGATGGGGGTGGCGATGGTGTGTGTGTGTGTGTGTGTGTGTGTGTGTGTGTATGTGTAGAAAGAAAGAGAAAGAGAGAGAGAGAGAGAGAGAGGAGTTTTTAAGTACTGTATGTATTTTAAGGAGGTTGAATAATCTAAGGTTAGGAGCATTTAAAATAATAGCAGAATAAAAGTCAAATACTTAGAAACACAGAGCAATGAGACAAAATGACCTCTAAAGGGGCTTTTAAGTATGTTTCAGTCCACAAAGGGTCTCTATAGCCCCTATTCTTATTTTTATTCCCACCATCCCCCAGAACTTTCCATTCTTAGGTGACATCCAAGGCTCCATCCATTCCTGCTCCGGCCCACCTGCCACCTTTATCCATAAAACCTGCTGGTCCTACCAAGTCAGACAATCTTTTGTCAGGAAAATGTTTTATGATTCTCTTCTGCAGTCTTGCTGGAGCTCACTTTCCCTATCTTACTGTCTCAGGTCAGGTTCCCTGGGAAACAGACTCTTGAGATGGAGGTTGGCTGTTAAGAGATGCTTAGGAAGGGTTCCTGTAGAAGAATGAGGAAGCAGGGGAGCTGGGATGCCTTTGCTGGGGAACTCTGGGGCTAGGGAGCCCTTCAGTGTGGTCCCAAGGTATGCCAAGTGGGGCAGGCATTAGCCTTGCCTGGATCAGGCATTAGCCTTGCCTGGATCAGGCAAACTGTTTTGGAAGCAGCTTTACAGGAGGCAGCTACCTTTGACCAAGGTATTGATTCCTGGGATTCCTGGGATGCGAGCCTTCCACATCCAACAGTCCCAGCTCATGGGATCATGACTGCCTTGGTTCTGTAGCGAATCTGCATGAAGCACTCAAGCATCCACCTTGCGATATATCACCTGAGCCCTGTTCAGTAGGTGGAGCAGCAAGTCCTGTTTCTCCCCCGTGGCTCTTTATTTTAAACCTCATGTGTTACCACGTGGCAGCGTTCACTAGGAATGAGCGGTGGACACCTGAGTTGTTGTCCAGGACACAGACCTGAATGAGTGGTGGGCACCTGAGTTGTTGTCCAGGACACAGACCTGGATTCTGTACTGTGTTCCCCTTCCACCTATCTGCTACCTGAATTTCTTCTAGGTTCCCATCTTTTCCTAGCTCTTGGCTATCTGCCTCAAATGTGCTCTCATGTCTAAGACTGAATAACTTACTCTGCCTACCTAGCACTGTACTTGGTCTCTCCTTCAAGACTCAAGTACCTATGAATTACTGCTACTCAAAACCAGTTTACAGTGAATGTGTTAGCTTTAGTTGTTAGTTTAGGCAAGATCATGCTGCACTAACAAATAAACCCTAAAATTTCAATAGCTTAATGCATGCAGGTTCAGATTCTCCTGAGAATCATCTTACCAGTGGGCAAGCCACAGATCCAGCGGACTCCATTTGGTGGTCCCACCACCTCCATATGTGGTTCTATCACTGGGATGGGGATGGGCAAGTTCAGTGTCATGAAGGTCTTCTCTTTGCCTTGGCCCAGAAGTGAGGCTTGTGTCTACAGTCTATGGAACAAAATGAGTCACATGCCCTGGCCTGACTGTGAGGCCAGAAAATCTAGGAAAGTGCGCGGCTATTTAGTGAGCATTAAATGTTTGCCCACGTGAAGTCTGTCTGCTGTTAAATATAATCATTCTTGGAGACTTGAGAAAGCCTTTAAAAATTTTGTCAAGCCCCAGGGGCCATATTCAATTGATTACTATAGAAAGGCAGTGTAATAAAAAGTTAAAAGACCTCTGAATCAGCCTTCTGTAATAGTACCATATGTGCCATGAGCAAGCAGGGATCCCGGATCTGGCACAGCCTCGGTAAACCTCCGTGTTTCCATAAGTGAAGTGAAAAGATCAGACAAAACTTTCTCTCGGGTCCTTTTCAGTTCTAAGTAGACTCTATGGAGCTTGCATTTGAGCCATGCATAGAAGATCTGGTTAATAGAGAACCATGGAATGTTCTTTCTTACATCCAACAAATGTAATTTCTTACATTCAACAAATTTTAATTAAGTGTCTAGAACTTATCTTGCCATTGCTGGATATGATGGCAAACAAGAAAGACACATCTCTACTTTCTAGGAGAATGCTAGGAAAAATATCTTTACTTTTAATTCACATGTTAATGTTTTCATTTATTGTCATTTATCTTGCCACCTCTGTGTAACACTTTTATTTTTATTATAACGCTTGTCCTCTGAGTTGTAGTCACGAGTAGACACTTTCCATGTGCTTGTATTAGTTTGCTAGGCCTGGTGAAATAAAGTACCACCTTCCAGGTGGCTTAAACCACAGAAATTTATTGTCTCACAGTTCTGGAGGTGTATTAGGGTTCTTCAGAGACACGGAATCAATAGGGGAGAGGGAGAGAGAGAGAGAGAGAGAAAGAGAGAAAGATGGATAGATAGATAGATAGATAGATAGATAGATAGATTTATTATGGGAATTGGCTCACATAATTATGGAGGCCAAGAAGTCCCACGATCTGCTGTCTGCAAGCTGGAGACTCTGAAATACTGGTGGTGGAATTCAGTCAGAGGCCAAAGGGCTGAGAACCTACGGGTGGAGTGGGGAGGGGGAAGCATGCTGTCATGTAAGTGCTGGAATCCTGAGGAATCCTGAGGCCCAAGAACCAGGAGCTCTGAAGTCAGGGGGCAGGAGAAGATGGATGTGCCAGCTGGAACAGAGGGAGCATCTGTGCCCTTCCTCCTCTTTGTTTGGGCTCTCCAGAGATTGGGTGATGCACGTGGGTGAGGGCAGATCTTCTCTAAGAATTCAAACGCTGATCTTATCCAGAAACACTCTGAGAGATGCACACAGACATACTGTCTTACTAGCTATCTGGGCGTCCCTTAACCCACTCAAGTTGACACTTAACATCAACAATCACAGGGGGCTAGAAATCTAAGTCAAAGCTGTTCCTTTTGAGGGCTGTGAGGAAGAATCTGGTCCAGGCTCCTCTTCCAGCTGCTGATGCTTTGCTGGTCATCTTTGGTGTTTCTTGGCTTGTAGAAGCATCACCCAAATCTTTGACTTCAGTTCACCTGGTGTTCTCCTTGTGTGTGTCTGTGTCCAAATTTCCCCCTTACATAACACCAGTCATATTGGATTACAGCCCACTCCAGTATGATCTCCTCTTAACTAATCATATCTGCAATGACCCTATTTCCAAAGAAGGTCACATTCTGGGGTACTGGGGCTTAGAACTTCAGTGTATGAATTTTAAGGGGACACAAGATGTCCGTGACAGTGCTGTGTTAAGTGACAGGAAGGATGAATTTCCTTCTTCACTTGCACTTTCTTTCTTGAAGTTTTGTTTGAAGCTGCTTGGAGACATCTCTGCATCCTGTCTTATGTGGATGCCACACCCACTGCAGAGATTACTTGAGATGTCAAGGTTGGAAAAGAAAGAGAGGGTGCTTTTGAAGGGAGGAGGGTAAGAGTACAGACAAGGGAAGCTGTCAATAAAGCTTGTCATTGTCACAATGTCACATGTGTCACAATTGTCACACTGCCAATAAAGACATGCCCAAGACTAGGTAATTTATAAAGAAAAAGAGGTTTAATGGACTCACAGTTCCACATGACTGGGGAGGCCTCACAATCATGGTAGAAGCCAAGGAGGAGCAAAGGCACAGCAGGCAAGACCATTTGCAGGGGAACTCCCCTTTAAAAACCATCAGATCTCATAAGACTTACTCGCTGTCACGAGAATGGCACAGGAAAAACCCACCCCCATGATTCAGTTACCTCTCACCGCATCCCTCCCACAACATATGAGAATTATGGGAGCTACAATTCCAGATGAGACTCAGGTGGAGGCACAGCCGAACTGTATCAGAAGCTTTGCCAAGAAGACCCTGAGAGTAGCGGGAACTCTCCTCTGTTCCTTGGCATTACCCTGGGAAGGCTGTGTGGCTCACCTGGGGACTGTGCCTCTGGCAGGAAAGCCTTGTGCAGTCTGCTCCTGAGCGAAGGCATGGCTTCCTGAATGAGACGGTCAGTAGCACAGACGGGCTGAAGATGAGAGGTCACATTCCACATTCCCAGAACCATAATATCCCCCAGATTCCTGTGTGTCCCTAAAGAGAGAGAGTCAGAATGAGAACTGGCATTTAATTTCCTGCTACCCTAGAGAAACAAGAAATGGAATTTGTTAATTTTTAAAATTAAAAAATGTGAATTTTCTATATTTATGGAATGTGTGATTACAAATTCACACAAACTCCCCTGTCTAATTTTTTTTCCTTTTTTTTTTTTTGTACGAGACTGAGTTTTGCTCTTGTTGCCCAGGTTGGAGTGCAATGGCACAATCTTGGCTTACTGCAACCTCTGCCTCCCGGATTCAAGTGATTCTCCTTGCCTTAGCCTCCCGAGTAGCTGGGATTACAGGCATATGCCACCACGCCTGACTAATTTTGTATTTTTAATAGAGACGGGTTTCTCCATGTTGGTCAGGCTGGTCTCGAACTCCCGACCTTAGTTGATCTGCCTGCCATGGCCTCCCAAAGTGCTGGGATTACAGGCATGAGCCACCAAGCCCAGCCCGTTGTCTAATTTTTTTAAAAAATTCAAGTGTGAGTCTGAGCTTCCCTTGATTTTGTGTCTAGAAGAGGTGTCAGAATGGCTGTCTGCTTTCCCAGCCTCTAGGCCTTTTGCTGCAGCACTGAGTTGCCAGCCTGCTTCCCATGAGCAGAAATTTTACCCATCTAGGTAATCAGGAAGAGCTTGTTCAATGAGTGAAGGGTGAGTCACACTGCATTGGCACAAACACTTGGCAACAATGAGTGTCCTTTACAATGAGCTCTATGGGACAGCCCTTTGGGGGAGATGGGCCAGCCAGACCTGAATAGAGGGCTGGATTGAAAACTGACAGTGACAGCTGGAAGTGAACTTGAGAGACCCAACAAACTTACTGTTGGAGAGAACTAGGGCAGCTGCTCAGAGGCACAGCTCAGAGGAGAGGATTTCACTCAGTATTTATTGAGCGCTTATTATGTTCAAGGCCCTAAGAGGGAATATGTAGAAAAACGCTGTTCTCTAGAATCTTAAGATCTAAGCATCAGAGAGTGAATGCCACAAACAATAAGTGTGGCAGATGCCCTGACCAACATAGACGAAGACTAAATATTACACCAGCTCAGAGATCAGAGATCTGGGGATGGGGAATGCCATGATAGGCCGGGAAGTCTTTGCAGAGAAAACTGCATCTGAGTGCCTTTTGAGGCCTGCTGCAAACTGTACTTTCAATGCCAGTGGCCCCTCTCACTATCTCCCAACAATGATTGCATTCACAAAGACAGAGCAGGGGAATGAAGTCACATGTGTTACCACATGAGCAATTACAAGTCTCAGTTGGGTTAGGGCGGTTTTGCACCTTAACTCTCTTCCTGCAGCCCCAGATGCTCCTATGCAGTCCCCCAGCTTGGCTCTTATACCTCTGTATGCCATGAGAACGCCTGCATCTTTATACAGACCACTTTATTGTGGGGAACACAGTACAACGTCCACTTCTTGTGCATTTGCAGTCACCCACCCATGCATTCCCTGAATCCTTCATTCATAAGTAGTACTCAACCAAGAACTTCTCTGTTATCCCAACTCGGACATGGGAGGTGTGAATATATTTTTCATAAAGCTCAGGCCTTTATGCAGAACTATTTTCATCTTCTAGTGAGAGGCTGGAGTAACAAAGTGCTGTTGTTAAGATTCTTCCCATTGTGCATTTTTCTTGAATAATGACATTTCTAAAAAGAATCTGAAACTGAGGCATTAGAAGGCAAGTGCTCGTTCATATCTTTGAAGAGGTCAAATATTTACCAGAATAACTTCTCAATACAGAGGAGGCAGATTTATTTTATTTTATTTTATTTTACTATAAAAATGTATGGGTAGCAGAAGACAAATTATGCAGAGCTTTGAGTTAGTTAATAATCATCTCATTAAATTCTTTGGAGAAATGAGACAAACTGTAGCTCAGGACTATGGAGTTGTTTTAGTGTGCCAGTTATATTTAATTTGACTATCTATTTATTGAGAGACAGTCTTACTCTGTTGCGCAGGCTGGAGTGTAGTGATGCAAACACAGCTCACTTCAGCCTTGACCTCCTGGGCTCAAGCAATCCTCCTGCCTTGGCCTCCCAAAGTGTTGGGCTTACAGGTGTAAGCCATGGTGCTCGGCCTATTTGACTTGTGTAATCCCTCCCAAGAACTCATACATACTATTGCCACCTCATTTTCCACATAAGAAAATGGAAGCACGAAAACGTTAAGTAACTTGCTTAATGGCTAATAGGTGGTAAAGCTTGCATTTAGACCACACAGTGTGGAGGGTCTGCTATTAAGGAAAAACGATGTTCTAGTGGGGTTTCCGTTTAATATTGCAGAAAAAAGAATCTTTATATTGAAGAGGTGTTATTTCATGCATACTCGTAGGTTTTGTTCATATATGCACATCTGACATACAATTTAACATTTGTGTAACTTGAAGCTCCTATGGGGAGTGGCAGAAGATACAGGAATTCTATTAATACCTTCGCAGATCTTAGATTCCAACAAGCTAGATACCTTAAGAAAAAGAAAGAAAGTGCTATGCTTGGATCCCAGATGTCCATTCCACCTTTTAGGACCACCCGGGGGGGGGGGGCCCTCTCTTCTCCATCCTTCTAGACAAGCAGGTAGTGGGATGAACAGACAGACTTTCCTTGCGAGGGTTGGCTCAGGAAGGCTCTGGGCTCATCTCACAGCCCCCCCAGCAAGGGTCTGGGAGGCAGGTGCTGGCTCCGGTGGGGTCTGCAGCAGAGCAGGACCGGAGCCCAGGGCGCAGCTGCGCAGCTTAACGCCTGTTCGCGCCCTGGTTTAGAGCGCTGGGCTGGGTCACCCCTTCTTTGCTAGCTTGCTGATATGTGTTCCCTCGGTGTGGGAATCAGGGGAGTGTCTTCTGGAGGCCACTAAAGCAGGAGTAGCATTTTCATGTTAGCGTGCGCAGGCGGTCTCCGCAGCCCCTCCTGGTCCCGGAGCCTGTCCCGGGGCGCCTGCGGGGCGGCTCCCGACTTTCGGGCGGGCCACCCGGGCGGCAGGGGGCGCTGTTGGCGGCCTGGCGGGGCGGGGGCGGGGCCGAGCCTCCCGCGTGCCCGGCCTCTGTGCGCGCTCGCGCCCCGCCCGCGCCGCCGCCTCTCCCCGCGCGGGCTCTCGGCAGGCAGGAGGCAGCAGGGCCGGCGTTGCAGAGCGGGCCGTGCGGGCTGCGCGGGCGCGGGGAGGCGCGGGCGGCAAACGGCGGGCACCCGGCACCCCGCAGCCGGTACCGGGCGGAGCCGTCGGAGCCGCGCACCGCGGAAGAGCAGGCCCAGGTAGGGTGACGCGCGTCCCCTTTGTGTCGGCATCGCCCGGGCCGGCTGCGGAGCGGGGAGGGCGGGACGCGGCGCTGCGGTGCCGGCCTTGGTGCTCGGGGCTTGCGGCCGCGCCTGCCCCGCTGGGTCCTGCCCGGGCGCCGGGTGGCAGCGGGCGGGGGGCAGCGTCCCTGGCGGGGACTCGCGGGCTCGGTGCAGAGGACGCCCGCCCAGCGCTGCCCATGTCCCTGCCCTCGTCCCTGCTCTGCTCCTGCCCCTGCCCTGCCCTACCTCTCGCTGGTGGCGCCCGCGCCTCAGCGCAGTGGGCGCTTAGGGACCTGGCGGCCCCCTGCTTGCGCTGCGCGGTCGCGGGTCTGCGCTGCGGCGCGGGATCAGGGCGCCCCGGGCCAGGGTCCCGCGGGCGATCTGGCGGCGGGGCTTTCACGGTTCGGGGCCCCGCCCGCAGACCCTGGGGCTGGAGCCTCGGTCCCAAGAGCAGGTCTGGGAAAGGACTACGCGCCCGGGGCACCGCCACCGGCGGGGAAGGTCGGAACTGGCCAAGAGGACGCCCCGCACATCCCCTGCGCGCGGGGTCCGCGGCCACTACTGCCCGCAGTACCCACCGCGAGCCCTTTCCCGGGGAATGAGCCGCCGCCCAAGCCCCGGAGTTCCCTGCGGGTCTTACCCACCCCAGCCTCCGGGCGCCGCCCCCAAACCGCCTGCACTGTGCTTGGCTCCCAGCTGTTTGGTCGCTTATGCCATCCTGGAGGCTTCCGGGTTCTGGGGTGAAGGGGTGACTTCTTTACCCTGATGGTCTTCGTAGGCAGGTCTCAGGATGTCCACTCCAAAGTTCGTGGTCTTTTTTCTAGCTAATAATAATTTTTAAAATCCTTTGAACAAATATCCTGCGCTGCCTCCTGCAGGGTCAAGGCTGGGGTAACAGAGGAGTGAGACAAGGCCCCAAGAAACTATCCCCAGTGGATCCCTGCTGCCCTGCGGTGAGAGGGGGTCTGGCTCCTGCACTGGGAGACTGGGAAGAAAGCACTTCCCGTAGTGGGGCCTGGGAGATGGAAGGAGGACATGCCCCAGTGAATGGGACTGGGGTTGGGGGTTGAGAGTTGATCCTGGCACCTAAGATGCATTTGTAAATGGAATGCCAGGCAGAAAGTAAGTTAGTGTAGGCGCCTGTGGAGCTGTGGGAGTCCCTAGGAGTCAGGGTGGCTTTGCAAGGGAGGGGGGGTCTGAGTCAAAGCTTGCAGGTGGGGCAGGTCCAAGGTGGCAGGAAGGGCCTCTGTCCAGAGAGAGCTGCTCCAGCAAAGGAAGGGGGAGGGACACCGTGAACTTTCCCAGGGGGTTCACCCAGTGGTTCCAAAGGAGACAACAGCCTTTTTGATTGTATTCTCTTCTCCAGTACTGAGATTAGGGAACCTCGTTTTTTGCACTTTTCTAGTGCCTTTTACATTTTTTGTTTTTATTTTTAAAGTGTGCAAAGGAAATGTGACTAGAGGGGTCAAATGAGGATATATCGTGAAATCTTTGAATTCTAGGCCAAGACTTTGGGTTTGACTCTGTGTCAGTGGGAGCCATTGATGGTTTTGGAGGAGGAGAGTGATCTGAGCCCTGCTCCAGAGTGATTGCCACAGTGTTGAGTGGAAGGGAAGGCATGGTGCCGTGTGCCTACTGTGGCTTCAGAGTCAGACCCCCACTGGCTGTGGACTTCCACCTGCATCAGGCATCGAAGGTTGTGGATGGATTGAGGACCTCATGAGAAAATGGGTGCAAATAACCCAATTTTAATGGGATGGAAATTTTCCAGACCCAGTGCAATTTGATTTTTACAGTTTGTGTTTTTAAAGAGGCCCTGATTCTAATGTCAGGAACTCTGGAAGAGGAACTAATGAAGGGCAAACTCAATTGCACGATGCAGGCACCCCCTGGTCATCTGTGCCATGAGGATTTGGGAAACTCAAAGAGCATTGTAAAATGTATATATTTTATAAATAGATTCCAGTGCCCTCAGCTTGCTAGTTGGTAATCCCTGTATCCAGACTGTTACTAGAGTAAGTCACGTCTCCTGGGGATTCAGTGTGGTTTGGGACTTTGAAGGGACCTCACACTGTTTGGCTGAAGCTGCTGAGGTTCAGGGGTAGACGTGCCACTCTGGCAGGCAGCAGCAGGGCCGGGAGCTCCAAGCCACGTTGCCTGCCTCTGAGAACATTTTTTTCCCCTGTGGTCCACCATGTGGCCCCACTGCCTACTTTTGTTCACATTTCTCCCTCCTAGAAGCCTTTCCCTCTGGGGGTAGCGATGGAAAGGAAGCCTGCCCTTGGAGACTGACAGTCATAGAACCAGGTGGGTCAGCACCCATCTGCCCTACGAACCCTCATTGTAACCATGGGAACCTTGTGGCTTGGAGAGGAGGGGTCAGGTAGCCCAGGCCACACGAAAAGCTGTGGCTGGTCCAGCCCTGGCATCAGCTTTTCTGGTTCTGTCTGCTGTCCCTTTTTTCCCCACACCTCACTTGCAATAGCGGATGAAGCTGTGCTCGCTGCCCTGCGTGTTGGGTGGTCTGGAAGCACTCAGGATGGTACTGAGCCCTCAGACTCTCCCAGGGAACTGCCAAGCAAGGAACCCCTGGCTTCCCAGGATGTGGGATCTCAGAGGCAGCCCAGAGGCGGGGAATGGAATGGAATTGCTTCTAAGGAAGAGGGACTCTCCGTATTTTCTCTGGGGAATTTTCTAACTTTGAGATCCAAGAATGAAGTCGAAGGTGCCTTTCTTTTCTTTAAGAAGTAATCTTTTCCAAGACCAGCCTCCTTTCTCCGTTGTTTCTGCATTACTGAAACATGTGAATACCCTTTCTTAATTAGATGAAGAAATTAAATTGAAGCCACTGCTCACATACCTGCTGGGTAGTGGGGCTGAAGAATAGAGCTTATTACAATTTCCTGACCCAGCTCTCTGGCCCTGGGCCAGCGTCTTAAACTCCCTGGATGGCTCCAGTGTTTTGAGGATAAAACTGAGGTGTTGGCCTAAATATTTTCCAAGATCCAGAAATAAAAATGTCCTGTTGGATCATATTTTTTTTTCCAGGAGAATAAATATTACAGGACGACTCACCAGGTAGAACCATTCGTAAGGGTCTGTTTGTTTGTTTCCCAAGAGAAAATATTTTAACTTTCAGAAGAGTGGCTTTTTTCCGGAGTGAAATGGTGAGAAATGAAGCTTTGAGGAGGGTGCCTCATTGCCTTCACCTTGCTCCACTCCACACATAACCCAAGACCTGAATTTAAAGGTGCTTACTTCCTGGATGTTCTGTAGAACTGGACGATGGCCTTTCTCTAAGGAGCAGGCTTATAAGCTGGATGCAGTGTTCCAGACAAAAGCAAGCTCCTTGATGACATGAAGTGTGTCAACCAGTATTTTATCATCTCAGGTGTGTTTGGCACTCGAGGTGGAGGAGGTGGTGGTTAATATTCATTATGTATTTGCCTGACTTTCAGGGTTTTGCTTGGATTGTGGATGCAGTTCTCACACAGCCCCATAGCACAGGCATATGTGGCTGTGTCTAGCTGACAGAGGAGCAGAATGAAGCAGAGAGCGGGGATGTTATCCAAGGTCCCACACACATCGTCAATTTTGAATCCTGGCTTTGAACCCAGAGGCCTGCAGATAAGGACAGATCCCATGACCTTGAGGAAGCTGTCGTCTAGGGAGCGGGAAGCTCAAACATTAACAGATGGTTTGAACGGTGGTGTCAGGGCAGCATGGGAGGTCAGGGCAGAGTGCAGTGGGACTCATAGGATGCCTGGGTCAGCCCCGGGTGGCAGGGAGGCTGCTTGCTGGGGCGATGCTGCTGGTCTGGGATGGGAGGGACGGGTCAGAGTTAGCTAGGCAAATTAGAGGGTCAAGGTCACATTCTGGGCCTGGGAACAGCAAGAAACAGCCTGGGGTGGACAGGGAACTTAGGACCAGCACACAGGGCCAAGCTTCCCAGCTGCCTTACTTACCACTAGCCTTTTTAGGGTGGCTGGTGGTCTCTGAGCTGTTTGGACCTAGATTTCCATGTGTGACACAGCCGCTTCCATTACTGGCATCTCCTGGAAGCTCCCATCGCTGCATTTTCGTTTTCACTGTTTTGTTTTGGAGCCTCTTTCTCTGTGTTCCCTCCATTTCCTTTCTTCCTCCTCCAGTTCTACCTGGTGGGAGAGTGAGTTCGGGGAAAGATCCGGGAAACCACCCATAGCGACCATTGTTTTTACAGTCAGTCACTTTGCTCCCATGTCTTCCGAGTGACCCATAGTCGCCTGGCGCCAGCGACTGGGAACCTCTGAACTAGACATTAGCCCAGTGCAGGTGCTGGATATGGCAGTGCAGGCTCTGGGGGCTTCTGCCTGTGGGAGCCTGTGGGAGCGAAAGGGAAGGGTTCCAAGTCCTGAAAGTGGATGTTGTCAGAGTCCTTTACTGATTAAACGGGCTTTTGTATCTGTCCTAGGACTGTGCACATCTCTTACAACATTGTGTTCCTGGGAATACTATTTAGGTTTCCCAAGAACGGCTTTCAGGTAATTGTTTGGAGCAGGGCATGTTTATTGTTGATGTGTGGTGTGTGAAGGTCCTCTGGAGGGCAGAGGAGTGCCGAATGCAGCAAGCGCGACTGCCTCCTGCGAGCCATGCAGAGGGGACCTGCCCGCTTTGTCTTCTTTTTCTTTTTCTTTCTTTCTTTCTTTTTTTTTTTGAGACGGAGCGCGCGCTCATGCTCCGCCAGGTCGGAGTGCCTGGCGCCATCTCCTTGGCTGCACTGGCAAACCTGCACTCCCCCCGTTCACCATTCTCTGCGCGGCGTCCGCGCCTCCTGAGTAGCTGGGACTGAAGGCCCCGGCCTGTCACCACCATGCCTGGCTAAAATATTTTATATATTCCAAGTAGAGACCGGGTTTCACCGTGTTATGCTCAAGGAATGGTAGTGATCTCCTGACCTCGATGATACGCCTGCCTCCCGGCCCTCCAAAGTGCTGGGATTACAGCGTCGGCGGAGATCACTGCGCCAAGGCCGACCGCTTTTCATAGTGTGTACTCAGGCTCCAGGGTTGTGCACACCCTTGGCTGGGTGATCTGGTGCGGTTGCAGGAGTCCCTCTGTGCACCCTCTCATCTGCACCTGGTCTGACACACCGCCCCTCGTCCTTTTTTTTTTTTTTTCTCTTTATTGAGATGCGAGCTCTTGCCTGTCGCCCCAGGGGCGCTGGAGTGCAGTGGTCCAGATCTCGAGGTCACTGCAAGCTCCGCCTCCGGGTTCCCGCCTTCTCCCTGGCCTCAAGCCTCAAGTAGCCGGATACAGGCGGCACCGCCACCTCGCTCCGGCTAGTTTTTTGTATTTTTTAGTAGATGACGGGGTTTTCACTCGTGTTAACCCAGGGAATGTCTCCGATCTCCTGACCGTCGTGGATCCCCGCCGTCCTCGGCCTCACCAAAGTGCCTGGAAAGTTTCCACAAGCATTCAATGAGTGAACTCTCCGATGTCTGCACCACCTGTTTGACCCCTGCTACAGCCTCATCAGTGAGGCCTGTCCATATCCTCTGAACAAAAGGGGGCCTGACAGGGAGGCAGCAGCACTTCCCCATGTCCCCGTTTGGCTCCTGGGTGTAGGGAGTGTTCCCCTTCACAGAAATACTCAGATGTCTGCATGAGGGGACTTTCTCCTCAAGTTCAAACATTCACTGAACTGGAAATGCACTGTAGCTGGAATCACCGCACGCCTTTTTAAACTTTCTTGGGCAGGTTGCGTGCTAAGCCTGTCGGTGTCTGTAAACACTTCTCTATTCAGACACCTCCAGCAACCCTCATGGCCCAAGTTACCTGTGAGCCCGCAGTTGAGTGTTCAAGCCTCTTCCTGCCTTGGCTCCAGCCTGTCTTTCCAGGGCTGATCTCAGCAGCTGCTGACATGTGCCTGGGACGCTCTCCCACCATGCATGTGCCAGCTTCCTAATGATTCTTGAAGGCTCATCACAAATGCTGCCTTTCCTTCCAGCTGTAAAATTACCCACATGGGTGGCTGTAGAGATGCTCTCCTCTGACACTGGCATTGCGCAGATGAGAAGATGGAGCCACAGGGAGCAGAAGGGGAGCGGAGTTAAAGCCCCAGGGTCCAAACCAGGTCCTGCATGCCCAGGTGCCTGCATTCTCTCTTTTCTCTTCCCAGGCACAAATGTTTTCCCCACCAGGTGCTTCCATAGCAACTTTTTTTTTTTTCCAGAACCTGTAGTTGCATTTAAAGCTCTCTAATCTAATTTTAGTGGTTTATGTAACCATCTTATTTCCTCTCCTAAATTATAATCTCTGCACAGGTAGGAACTTACTCACTTTTACATTCTCTCAGTGCCTATAGTGCTCTTTCTGAATGGATTTTTGTTAAGTGATTGACTACAAGGTAGAGAAACCTGGTTTAAGAGGGAAGCCTGGAACAGATTATGAATGAAAACATGGAATTCGAGTTTAAATTCTGTACTCCACCATGATCCGAGCAAATCACATGCTCTCTTTAGGTCAGGTCACAGAACAACACACCGCAAGACTGTGGGAAGTCGGGTGGGAATCTTTGCTTGGGTTTAAGAGTGAGGGTGGTAGAATGTAGCCCAGTGGCCCGGAATGCAGAGAGAGAATCCTGGTACCGTGGTTGTGTAGACACCATGTAAGTGAGATCCAGTGTAATAGCTGGCGAGGCTTCCATGGTTATGTTGCTGGGGGGCCCTGGGGCCTGAGGCACTGTGTGATGCACAGGAAGCATGTGACGTGGCCTTTGCCCGTGATGTTCCTCATCCAGCAAAGGGAGACGCATAATGCAGAATGGTTAGGACCAAGCGCCAGAATGTGCCCATCCAAGCGCATGTCCTGGGCATCTGGTGAGGAAGCGATTGTGGAAACGGGAGTCAGCATAGGTGGGCTTTGGAGAGCTGGGAAGAGTAGAGAAGGAAGCGCTCTGAGCTGTCAGAGAGCGGGGCAAAGACCCAGGCCAGGCAGGGTTTGTTCTGGAGGATACTGAGGAGACAGCGTTGTTGGATGAACCCTCAGGAGCAGCAGAGGAGGGGCCTCTGTCTCTTCTCCGAGCGTGGGACTCTCATGAAACACTGGGAAGCTTTCGCCAGTGCCTTGGAACAGCTTGCCAGGTAAGGCCCCAGGGCCAGAGATTCCTGTGGTTCTTCCTGTATCGGAGTTGAAGAACTGCAGCTGCTAAGTGTGCTGTGAAGTGTGTGAGGAGCCGTCCTTCGGGTTCACTGTGTTCTCTGTCTCTGAGGAATCCGTTTTCTGAGTAACTTACGTGCCCTTGGTCTGGGGTGCCAGTTGTGCACTCACAGGCATAACGCAGGCTGTGTGCTCTGAGGGAGCCTTTGCTTTGGGAAGGGTGCGGGCTTGCAGAGACCTTGGGGCTGACTCTTTGACGGATGGAGAATGTCAGGAAGCACCCGGGTCCTTCTGAGTTTTCTGGCGACGCCGATTGCCACGTGGCGAATCTTGGTAGCGTATGCACTGGAGCGATGTAGTCTAGGGCAGTGGCATCCAAAATGCTTCCAGGACACTTTCTGAGTTGGCACCTTAGACCTGAACTCTCTTGACTGAAACACGTGCATTTCCTTCTAATCACTTGGCAGAAGTAAGAGGATTGTAATCCCTAGTGTGGACGGGATGGGGCTGGCTCTGTGCCACAGATCTCACTCACAGGTCGCAGGTCTTTCTTCTTTTTGTCTCAGTGAAGCACTAGCCAAGGCCCTGAAAACTGAGCCAGTCTGGTCGTTGATGACCGGCAGAGTGGTGGATAGGGCCAGGTGTATTAGGAAAAAGAAAAAAAAAATCTCTTTAGTCCATCGTGAGACCCTAAGAAACCAGCTGTGTTTCAGCTTCTGTCCTCCTCCCTCCCCAGCTGCTCTCTTTACTTCCCTCATTATCATGTGTAGGGGTAAAAATGGCCAGATATGAGAGTAAGATTTCCCATTTATCCAAGGACAGAAGCAGGCAGGAACCTCAGGATCTGATGTGGGCAAGCCGCAGGTAAAGGGCAGGTTCAAGGCCCAGAATACAGGTAGATGATTCTCTCTAATATCTGCCTGCATCTTCATGTGGCTGTCTTCTCTCTCTGTCTCTGCGCTGGGAGTGCGTCTCTTCTTACAAGGACATCAGTCATGTTGGATTAGGGCCAACCCTGTTGATCTCATCTTCGCTTGATTGCATCTGCAAACACCCTAATAAGGTCACATTCATAAGCATCAGGGGTTAGGAGTTCAATATATCCTTTGGGGGAGACATGATTCAACACACACACATGTGTGCACACACACACATAAACACACACATACACATGCATCGATACACACAACACATATATAGGTACCAGTATCAGGTGTGGTGTGTGTTTGTGTTTGGATATGTTAGCATATGTTTGGCCAGCAGCATAGCACTTACTAACAAGGACTTAAACAGCTTTCTGTTTCCTTGTTAGCAAGGCACTGAAGGTAGGTGCTTGCTTCCAGGCGCTGGTGCAGTGGCTTGGGATGTTACTGAGAGCCCAGGTTCTCTCTTCTTTCTGCTCTGCCATCCTCAGCATGTTTTCCTTTGCTCTATGATGCAAAAGGGCTGGCCACAGCTGTGGCACATCTGTGTTTCAGGCAGTGAGAGAGGTGGGGGATTTGGTGTCCGCTGCATCTGTCCATTTTTGTCAGGAAGCGACAAGCTTTTCCAAAAGTTTGGTGGCTGACTGTATAAAGGGCCCAGTGCCAGAGCTGGGCTGTGTGGCTGGCTCCTGGAGAAAGAGAAGGTGAGAAAATGAGGGTCTGCCTGGGAGAAGGTCCTGGAGGAATGAACAGGATAACACATGCGAGAGAACTGCCCCATGCAGGGGTTGGCCGTGCTAGGCCTTGATAACTGCCTTTCCCTCTCCTACCTGCTCTTCCTGGCAAAGCAGGAGCCCATATGGATTAGGCCCAGAGCCATGTGCATGCAGCTTCAAGGCTGCAGGTGTGGTGCTACGCACACCTGTGTGTTCCATCAGTAGGTTGGGTGTGGGTGCGGTGTGGGTGCATTGTGGGCCGGGAATCCCAGTCCTGTCCTGGTCGTCTTTGTACCCCTCTAGCACCCGGCACACAGTCGTCTCATAGGAGGCGCTCAATAAATATTTGTTGAGCTGAATTTGCATCTTTTCCCTTCAAAGACTTTTGAGTCCAGAAACAACCACACCCATTCACTATAATATTCATGAATATCTTACTCTTTATTTCTATTGTTGTTGTTATTTATTTACTTTTGTTCTTTTATCCATCATTTGGCAAAAACTACTTGGTACCAGGGATTCAACGACACATTGAGGACTATATAGTGAAGGTGAGGACTTGCAGAGAGGAACGGATGGGGCGGAGTTGGGGGTTCCCTTTCTGAAACAAGGGAGAGTTTACCGTTCTGGAGTCCACATGGCAGGGATTCATCTCTTAAACTTGAGGAATTTTATTGAGTCCAGTTTCACTTTAGTAAAAACAAACAGAACACGTAGGAAGCCCTATTGGTCCCGTCAGGTTGCCTGCTCTTCACTTCTGTTTGTGAAATAGCACAGGATTTTAGGTGCAGGGTTTTTCACATGCTGAATAAATATTTGTGTAGCCTTCGCTCTTGGCCAGGTACTGTGCTGTCAGCTGTGAAAACCTGAGTAAGACTCAGAAGGCCGTGTTGCAGCTCCTCCTGAAAGGAATGCACAATTTCTGCCTGCTGATTGGCCGAGGGAAGCATTTCTTATCTGTTAATACTTTAATCACTCCTGGGACTCTCTCCCTTTGGCCTACAGCTCTGCTTCCTTGACAGTGACCTTGTTTTTTTTTTCTGTCCCTGGCCATGTGCAGTGGATCCAGCCTTTCCTCGGGAGGACCAGCATGACTGTGCCTGCCTGGGCGACTGATCAGGGCCTTGAGCTGTGTCCTGCTAGCCTGGCAGATAAGGGCTGCTTTCCGGAGGCAGGCAGGACTTCTTCCTTGTGTAGCAGGGAAAACAGAATGCAGACAGGCGGAGGCGAAGCGAGGACCTGGAGCCAGGCTGTCCTCTGTGGTAGCCACTGGCCCTGTGGGGCCCCGGAGCGCATAAACTCTGGCCAGTTCCAGTTGAGCTGTGCTGTCAGTGGGTTTGGGGTGTGAAAACCAGAATGTAAAGTACCCACTCATAATTGTTATATGGATTTTATGTTGAGATGATTATATTTTGGCTATATTGGGTTAAATAAAATATATTACTAAAACTAATTTCCCATGCTTTTTAATAAAATGTGGCTATCAGAAAATTTACAATGATGTGTGTGGCTTACATCAGACTGAATTTCTGATCTGGAGGCCTTGGAGAACTGTGCTTCTTTCCAGGTTACCAGCCTTTTGACCAGCTCTTCTAGAGTGCTTACCTGCCCTGGATTCTGGGATCCCAGCATGGACAGGGTCCCTTGCCTGCATCTGGGGGCCTGGTTTGTGCCATTTCACTGTCACTAGGCACGTCGTACATGCCTTGAGGTTAGTTGTGGATGGTTCAGACTCTTGTCCCACTTGTCCAGTTGGGGCATGTCCGTCTCTGTAGCCTGTATTATTCAGACTCAGCTGTTCAACCAGCTCAACTCTGTTCAGTCTCAATTCAGATTCCAACATGTTTGGGTCTTTTAAAAAAATGTGTCAAATGGAGGGTTTGGGTTCGATGAATTTAATATTTTTCCTTAAAACACTCTACTGTCAGAATCTACCCTGATGTCCATCATCTTTGCATCAAGTTCATTGCCGCAGGCCCCCTTCATTTCTCCTCTGGGTCCACCACCTGCCTGTGTGTTTGCCTGTGGCATTCTCCTGGCCTTCAGCTGTCAGGGCAGACGGCACCCAATGGATCTTGCACGTATGTTTGATTCCCAGTGAAGACTGGTTGAGAGAAACCTCTCCCATACCTGTCTCTTCTCTGCACATCCTACATCTGCACCACAGACCAAGTACGCACGTCTAGAATACCAGACACGCCCTCAAGCCACCAGCTCCTAGCCCAGGTACTGCTCTCCTTCACTGGCCTTCTGCATGCCCTGGCCTCCGTGCTCCTCCCTTCCTTTCTGGCGACTGCACATTCCTCATTTGAGCCCTTGCCTTCAGAGTTGCCCCAGATTTTTTTCCACGTCTTTGAAACCTGTGGCTTTTGCTGACCTTTTCTACGTGGTTGGCTCCAAGGCCTCCTATCACCTGACACCCTCTGTGGTCGAGGGCTTCCCCGTGAACTTCCTCCTCACCTGCTTTTTCCTGCATCCCCAGTGTCTCCTGCTGTGGCACCCTGCCTTCGGTGATGGTCAGAAACTGGCCCATCCTCTTCCTGCCACTTCTGGGGGTTCTGCGTGGCCCCTTCAGGCCTCTTCAGTTCCCTGAGCAGCTCTGGCATTTTGGGGGTGACATGGAATGAAGTCAGCATCCATTTGCTCCCTAGACACACAGCAGACTTGGTGCCGAGGGCCTATGAGCTTTGCCAAATGAAATATTTAAAAAAATTGGAAACAAGTATTAGTTCTAGAGTATTAAAAAAAAAACACCAGAATTGGTGTTACCACATATAACATGTCAACAAAATTTAACTATTATTGACTTGATTGAAACTCCATGCATAGTTACATAGAAATTGTATTTAACCTGATGTGAGGGTACTTTTCAGTTTTTGGCATAAAGAGAGATGAGACCTGTGGAAGTCACGTGCCCCTGAGTTAAATACCGCCCTCGCCACCATATTTTATCTCTACCCAACTCTCCTTGACAGTGGAGTTGAGACTGAGTTTGACATTTATTTGTTGCACTTCCATAGGGTGAATGTACAGTGAGCTGGGCTCCTGGAACTAAGCCGTGGGTGTTACTCATTTTGAATTTCCAGCGCAGGACGTGGTATGCTGAACTTCACTTGGGAACTTTTCACTGAACTCTCTCTCTCTCTCTCTCTATATATATATATATTTATTTTAAATAAGGAACATTGGGATCCTGCCTGAAGGTCTATGTTTTCTTTTTACTGAAACACCACAATGTGGTGGTTTTCGAAACCACGCATGTCTATAAACTGACCTCAAATGGCAAAAACCCTTAGCTGAGGTGCTAATAAAAATAATTATTGTGAAGCTTATACAATTGTAGTTTGGAAGACTTTGAATTATATTTGAATATTTCCTGGTATTGACTTATATGTTATCCACACCTACTGTTTATGTAGAAATCAATTTATTTAAAATATGACTACCATTATGTGATAATAAATAGCTTTGGAGATAGAATAAAGTTTTTCTTGTTAAGCATGGAACTGTTATTTTTTTTAAAAAAATTCTATAACTACCATTATGTGATAATAAATAGCTTTGGAGATAGGATAAAGTTTTTCTTGTTAAGCATGGAACTGTTATTTTTTTTAAAAAAAAATTCTATGACTACCATTATGTGATAATAAATAGCTTTGGAGATAGGATAAAGTTTTTCTTGTTAGCATGGAACTGTTATTTAAAAAAAAAAAAATTTCTAAGAGAAAGTAGCTAAAGTGCATTTCCTAATATGATGAAGTGGGCCCTGGTGTAGGAAGGAAATAAATATAAATCATGTTGGCTCAGCAGAAAGAATGAATTTCTAGACCTAAACTGGTGAAAGGATGGCTTAAGGAAGGACACAGTATTTTTATTTGCAATGGTGTGATTACTTTGCACGGTTGCACTTTGGGGAATCCAGCTCCAAGAAATGATACTAAATGTGGAGAAAAATAAATGCTTGATGCGCAAATGTATTTCTTCATGTTTTTTAAAGAATAATAGCCCCAAGTGGAAAACATCTAAATATAGTTAAGTAAATATCATGCTCTAATTAGATAAGATTTTTGGAGATAGTGGGCATGAGAAATGTTTATATTATTAAGTGAAAGCAATGGTGAGGCAGAATAGTACAGTTTGATGTACAAACCTGAAAAATGTGCTGAGGAGAGAGAGGAATCAGAACTCTTAAGGACTGTGACATTTTTTCTATTTTTTATTTTTCAATTATGGTTATATTTCATTTTTAGTGAAGTAAATTATTTTAGTTTTGTAAAAAATTAGTTGTAAATTCAGTCACTCGCTCAGTCCACACAAATTTTATTACTTCATATACCAAAAATACATGTATACAGACACATGCCCACCACACACACATATCTATGTGTATGTGTCTATAGACACACACACACACACATACATGTGTATATATACGTATAATTTTTTTTTTTTGAGACAGGATCTTGCTCTGTCACTTTGGCTGGAGTGCAGTGGTAAAATCTCGGCTCACTACAGCTTTGATCTCTGGGACTCAAGCAATCCTCCCACCTCAGCCTCCTGAATAGCTGGGAGCACAGGTGTGTGCCACCACACCCAGCACATTTTTATATTTTTTGTAGAGGTGGGGATTTGCCAGGTTGCCCAGGCTGGTCTCGAATTCTTGAGCTCAAGCAGTCCTCCCACCTCAGCCTCCCAAAGTGCTCGGATTACAGGCTTGAGCCACTGCACCTGGCTAACTATATATATTTCAACCAATACATCCACGTTATATTATAAGTGGACATTTTGCTGCCGTGGAGTTGAAGTGAAACAAGGAAGAAACCCTCCTATTATTAATAAACTGGACAAAGCTATGCAGGCACGCACATTGCTCCTAAAGGGCTGCCCTCTCAGGCTGACCTGATACCGTACACCTGCAGGTCTGGCTGAGAGTACCGTTCATGTCAGAACTGGGACAGCGTGCCCGGCAGAGTCCAGAAGCATCTCCTAGTGCGGCGGTTGTGGTCAGTGCTTGAGCAGAGAAGGCAAGACTGTGGGGACAGAGACAGGATCCTGCTCAAGACTTCAGGCCCCACTGGATTTGTGAAAAGACCTGTGACCTCTCTGTAAATGTTCCTGTTTTATTCATCTCTAAAGTGAGAATAGTACCAGGGTTACTTATTTTGTGGGAATCTTCTGAGGATTAAAGAAATCATGCCCATGAAACTTCAAAGGAAAACCTTGAAGTCCTATCCAAAATGCAGATCCACAAATTACCCTTGGAATTCCATAGGTGGGAAGCTGGGTCTTGGGAATGGGGAGGGACAGGCCTGCTGACAGTATTCAGAATCCACGGTGGAGAGCTTAATTGGCTTAATAAAAGACTGCCCTCTGGTCCACAAAAATGGAAGTATTTGACCCATGTAGTTTTTTTCCCTAGGTTTCAGGTAAAGATAGCCTAGATGAAATAATGCCGTATTTCCATTTTTTCTCTAATTTTCCGTTTTGGTGGTGGTTTTGTTTTAAATTTATGGTGAAAATGCCAGTGGCTCTTGTGTTCTCTAGAAGTGTGCTGTTTAATCTCCAGATATTTAGAGATTTTCCATCTCTCTTTCTCTTACTAATTTCTAGTTTAATTCCATTGTAATAGGAGGGCATACTTTGTATGATTTTTGTTTTTTTCTTTGTTTTTACATTGAAGGTGTGGTTTGTGGCCTGGACTGTTCCCTTTGAACTAAAGGAATGTGTATTCTACTGTTGCTGGATGGAATATTCTTTAACAAGTAGATCAAGTTGATTGTTAGTGCTCTTCAGTTCAACTGTGTTCTTATTGATTTTCTGCCTGCTGAATTTGCCCATTTCTGATAAAGGGGTGTTAAAGTCTACAGCTTTTAGTGGTGGATTTGTCTGTTTCTCCCTGCAGTTCTGTCAGTTTTGCCATATGTATTTTGATGCTCTGTTGTAAGGTATTACGTGTTTAGCATTGTTATGTCTTGGAAAATTGATCCTTTATTATTTTGTGATGGCCCTGTTTGTTGTGATGATTTTTTTCTTGCTTTGAATTCTGCTTTATCTGAAATTAACATAGCCAGTCCAGTTTTCTTTTGATTAGTGTTAGCATGGTATATCTTTTTCCATCCCTTTACTTTTAACATGAATCTTCCTGTTTGAAGTGGGTTTCCTGTGGACAACACAACATGTAGTTGACGCTTGCTGTTTTAGCCACCCTGAATATCTGTACCTTTTAACTGGTATATTTAGACCACTCACAATTATACATACTTTTAAAATAGAAAATACTGTGTATTGCTATTCGGAGATTTTTTTTTTCCTTAGTATATTAGGTTACCTTATTCCTTTACAAAGTTACATAGCCAAAGGAATTGCTTTCTAAGGTCTTTAAAATTGGTATGTGTTTTATCTCACCATTCTAAATAAACTATTTTTTCCTGTGGTAATGCCTCTACTATAACAAGCTTCTCATTTTGTGCCTAATTTGGTATCCGGTCGGGTAAATCAATTGGTTCTTTGTGAGCAGTTTAAGCCTAAGACTCAGCTTCATTTTTATGAGTGGTATCTTAGAATGAGGAATGGTGGCAGAATTAGCCAAATGCCTTTTATCACAATAAGAGAATTTTAAACAATACTCAGTTAATTGATAACCAATGAACCAATGAGGTTGTTCCATAGCTATAATTTAACAAATGTCTCCACTGCTGAAGAGTGTATTTTATTTTACCCCAGAGAAGACAAGTGCAAAATAACTCACTGCATGGCAACTCTAAAGGGATCCCTGTGTTTCCCAGCGTACAGACTATTAGTATACGATGCATGCAAACAGAGAGGTGCTTTATCGAAGCGGGACAAGACCTCTATTCATAGTAAAGTCAAACAAACCACACATGTGAAAACCTCCACTTATAGTGGCTGCATAAGCTTAACTGCACAGAGCTATACTGCTTTTTGAAATATTAACTTGCCAGTTCAGCAACGGCTAAGAAAACAATCCTAGACTTGGAAATTGAAAGACTGGAGGGATTCCTTTGGAACCCCTTTGTGTACATGCATGTGAGGAATTGTAGGTAAGTGGGAGGGTCTCTCTTGAGCAGTATTTTGCTGTGATAACTGGTGGGCACAGAGTCTAAATGTTCCTTCATTATGGAGAAGAGGGAGAAAGGATATGGAGAAGGAAGAGCCTCCACTGACTTGGATTTCTGTGTGGATTTCAGAGCAGACCCTACTCTAAGGATTTGCTTCAGTGAGGCTGCAATGCAAAGAAACGCTGTCTTTTTGTGGGATTTTAATTTAGAGCTTGCAATATGTTATACTTAAGAGATACAATCCTTGGTGAGGCAAAATAAAAATAGTTGTTTTCTCTCAGTGTATAGTGTCTCGTGGGTACTGTATCGAAAGCCTCTAAAAATTTAAAGTTATGAATGCAGAGAGTAAAAAACAACTTTCAAAGGAAGAAAAAATGGAGAATAAAATTCCCTTTATTCTAAAGCAATTATCCACAGGTTTTTTTTCAAATTTTAATTCTTCTGGAAAAATTGTATTGTGAGTATAGAACTTAAATGTGTGTTCACAAATGGGATCATGGTGTATAAATATTTTTGTACTGTGACTTTTTATTTGCTGATATATCTTAGACATCTTTTTATGCCAAAACATGAAATATTAACTAAGGTTCAACTTATTCTTCACTCATATAGCTGTATTATTTATTCAGCTTTTCTTCTGTTGATGTAAAATAAGTTGTGTATGTAAGTAGATTTTCCGTTTTTGCTGTTGTGAAGATTGCTTCCAGGGTTTTTTTGTTTTTGTTTCATTTTGTTTTAACATACACATGATTTTTTTTTTTTTTTTGCCAATGTATCTCTAGAGTAAATACTTAGGACAGCACATGTGGGTCAGAGTTATGTGTGTTTTATATTTTCATCTGTTCCTAAGTCGTTTTCCAAAATGACATCTATTGTTGTGCTGCTAAAAAATAAATGAGAGTTCCTCTTTCTCCATATTCCACAGTATTGGGTTTTTATTCAACAGTATCGAGGTTTTTCATCATTGCTGATCTGACAAGTGAAATATGGTATCTTTTTACTTCATGTCTTTAATTAGGAGTAAGTTTCAGTGGGAGCTGAAAACAGCTTTTCAAATGTTTATCAGCCACTAGTATTTCTCTTTCTGTGAACCTGTTCACATTCTTTACCTGCTTTTCTATTGCAGTGTTTTCTATTGATATTTTTCTGTATAAATTAAAAGTATTAATTCTTCATTACATGTAATGAGAGTAATTATTCCCAGTTTTGTTATTTACTTTTTACTTGTCTTATGTTATTTTTTTCCAAATAGAAATATAATTTTTATGTAGTTAGAACTTTACCACTTCCTTATTTTTGAGGTTTGCTTTAAAGGCCTTTCTCCCTGCTGGGTTATACATATTTTAGTTATTTTTTTCCTCAGGTAAAATTGTAGTTTTACTTCTAGCATTGTTAGGAAACCAGCCTAATCTTTTTTTCCCAGCCTATTTTTTCCCCACCTATAGCTATTTGTCTGAAAACTGCTTAGTGAATAACCCATCTTTCTTCTATTGTTCTGAGACACTACTTAGAAGTATTTAAAGATATCTGCATAGAAGACTTGGTGGAGTCCTGGGTAAGAGCAGAGCTCTGCATCTGGACGTGGGTTGCCACTGACAGCTATCTGACCTGGGCAAATATTTTAACCTGTTTCCTCTTCTGTAAGATGCAGCTCTTTTGCAGTAGCTGTGCTTTTGCCAATATTGTGCATATCACAGCATAGTTCGGTGACTGTCACATGGTCATCACTTAAAAAAGAAAGAAAAAAACCACATGATCAGGGTGGAGTGGGCGCTGTCTGTGCTTCTCATTGCCGCTTCCAGGCCATTGCGTCTTCTTCCTCCCTAAAACTTCCCCTGCTCCCTTGAGACATGTGCCATCAGGCTTTACTGTCCCTCTTCCTTCTTCTTTGAACCTTCTACAGATGCCCCCTCCTTTTGTCCTCCTCCGCATTCATAGATGAGTTTAGCAACGAATTCACCGTCTTCATCTTCCTTCCTGTTACTACTTTAGCCATTTCAACATCTGCATAGCAGGCCATTTCAAAACTGGATCCCTCACTTTCTTCTTTGGCCTCCTCCTTGTAGTCATCCTCTTTGTCTTACATGAACTACCCATTCCTTCAGTAACACCCTGTTCTTCTAAAATCTGGACATCCAGCATCCTGTTGTGAGGTCACCACCCTCTCCGTGCAGCTCTCCCTGCAGCTCCCTTTGCAGCTCCCTGTTCCTCCTCCCTCATTGGTCACTCTTCATTCCTGAACTGTGTCTCTTTGTTTGGACATCCGAGGGCCCCATGGCCCCATCCTCAGGCCTCTTTTGCTGTCTTTCCCTTCTACATCCCTGCCCAGGTGAGCTCATTTATCCCCCAGTGTTAATGTTAACAGCATGTAGATAGGATGGCCTCTCACTTTGTGTCACCAGACCACCCCCAAGAGCCCGTGCTTGTCGTGGGCACAGCAATCTGCACACCTACCCTAGGGCTTCTGAGGGACACCCGTGTCATGGACAGGGCTGCTCACACGACCGTTCAGGACAAAAGTCTGGAAGCGTCTTTGACTTCTTTCTTTCCCTCCCTCCCTCCCTGCCACCCTTCCTTTCTCCCATCAAATCTTTGGGAGGTACCTTCAGAATCTGTCGGGTTTCTGCTTCTCACTGCTTTCACTATTCCTTTAGGCCGAGCCACCTAAGGGAACAGTTCCCTTAGGATCTCGGGCGGCTCGGCCTACGGGAACAGTGAAGGCGGGGAGCGCTTCACTCTCAGTGCTTGTGAGGAGCAGTGAGCATGTTTGTGGAGCATGTTCTGCCTCTGTACATTCTCATGCCCTGCTTGCTCATTTCATCCAGGACTCACTTGAGATATCACGTCTTCAGAGAGGCCTTAAAGACTAAGAAAATAGCACATCCTTTCTTTACCTGGTTGTGTTTTATTGTAGCTCTTATCACTAGCTGATGGCATGTGTATACACACCCCCCCACACACACATACATAGATGCATATATACACATGTATACACATACATGCGTCTTTAGATGCATGTGTGTGTGCATATAGAGAAATACTCAGACTGCAAAATTCTAAAGGTTTTGAGTGGTTGTCACTGACTTTTTTTTCTCATAAGCCTTTTTATTGTAGTGATTTCAGCTGCTGCTATTTTGGTGCCTTTATTTAATAAGGAGTCATCTTATATAATCTTTAAAAATCACCAACGGGATCCTTTTCTATATTGATATACACACACTTGGTGAAAGAAATAAATGAATGAAATAATTTCTTTAATATATGTTTTTTTGCATCAGGTTGACTTTCTCAGGTTATTCTGAACCATTGAGTCTTTTGTTCATAATTTGAAGTAGCATCTGTGTTCCCAGAAAGGTGTAAATTAATTAATTGTATTGAAATTACCAGAGAAGCACACTGTTAGGAAATGAGAAGCCTCATCCTGTCCTTCAGTATATCAGAGTTTTTTCAATGACACACGGTAGTGTGTGTGTGTGTGTGTGTGTGTGTGTGTGTCACCGAGGGCCAGGTGCGTTCTTACAGATTCCTGCATAGTCTGAGCTCCTTGAGAGCAGAAACCACATCTTATTCACCTTGTTATCACGCCTACCTGCTGTCTCAGCACATGGTCGAGGTGCAAGAAAAGGCTGAGGAGTGCATGAACATTTACTACAGATGTTTCTGCTAAAACCCAATACATGCATTCCTGGTGTTCTGTAAAACCTGGTACTAAAAATATGAGGGCTTCTTGAGTATTGAGAGACTGACCACTTAATACCCGTGTGGCTTTGTAGCCAGAGTAGTATGAAGAACAATTCTTGATACCTGGGCACACATGCAGCTTGGCTGGAGGCTGTAAGTTAAAAATATGGATGACAAACAAGCAAGTGAAATGCATGGCACTTCATTAGCGCCTGTTTGCTGGTGCTGAGAAAATGCGGATGCCAGTTAGCTATGTGACCATGGGCCACTGTCCAGTTAGGGGCAGGAGGCTTTTGCAACCTGCCAACAGCCCAGGAGCCACACTGGGCTCCCAGCACACCCCTCTGGGCAGAGAGCTCTGTGGCCAGGCTCTCTTTATAAATCTTTTTATAATGCAGCTGAGAAAGGCTTCATTTGCCAGTGCAGCAGCTGAGCAGACAGCTTTTCTTCCTGCTGGAGGTTATCATTCTGTTTATAAGCTCTCTTACCTGGGAAAAATGGCGGAAGCTGTAGTAAAAGACACGATATTGTCTTTTATTTGAAGGCTCAGAATTTATTGCCAAGTAAAGGCAGAGAATAGATTTGCAACCAAGTGGATACCGTTTTCCGGAATGGGTATCTAGATGCTGCTCAGGACTGAGGAGGAACAGCTTTCTGGAGGTGAGAGGCTTGCTCTGTGCACCGCCGGTGATGTTCGGAGGCTGGGTCAGGGCCCTCAGCTGGCGGAGATATTAGCATTAAAGACTTTAGCTTGAGCAGCCTCGTCCTGAGTGCTGCAAAAAATTAGCATCCTCAGACTGCATGTGGGCAATGCTTGCTATTTTAGTAAAGGAGCAGTAACAAGGGAATATCTACCAAAAAGATACGTGGGCCTGTCCACCAGGCTGTGTCTTCTGGTCAGATGGAAACACCGCTCCTCTGATTCTCTGCTTTGAGAAAACTAGGATGGCCCTGCAGAGGCAGAGGGGGAGAGAGAAAGATGCAGTTGAATTTGTTCTTTGCTTCCTGAACAGAAATGCCTAAAGTTAAGCAGAGTTTACATATAGTGTTGCAGTCTTGATGAACAAAAGCTATACTGAGAAAGAGAACATTTGGGAAAACCTGAAGTAATCTTGCCTTCGTCTTTTACATTTTTTTCCACTTGGCATGTTTCTTTCCTCTCCGCTCCTCTCCTCCGCCTCTCCTCTCCTCTCCTCCTTCCCCCTCTCCTTCCTCCTTTCCCCTCCCTCCTTCTCGCTCTCCCACCTCCTCCCGCTCCCTCCTCTCACCCCCTCCCTCCCTCCTCTCCCCTCCCCTCCTCCTCCTTCTTCCCTCCTCTCCCTCCCCTCCCCTCCCTCCTCCTCTCGCCTCCCTCCTCTCCTCCCCTCTCTTCACCTTCCCTCCCTCCTCCCCTCTCGCTTCCTGCCGTCCCTCCTCCTTTGCCTCCCTCTTTTCTCCTTTTCCCCCAACCTCCGCCCTTTCCCTCCTCCTCCCCTCTCCCTCTCCTCCCCTCCCGTCTCTCCTCCCCTTTCCCTCCCCTCCGCTCTCTCTCCTCTACTCCCTTACTTTCCCTCGCCTCCCCTCTCACTGCCCTCCCTCCCCCTGCTTCCTGCTCTCCTGCGCCATCTCCTCTCCCTGCCCTTTCTTTCTTTTTTTTTTTGGACGGAGCTTCACTCTTGTATTGCCCAGGCCTGGAGTGGCAATACGCCGCAATCTTGGCTCACTCGCCGACTCTGCTCTGGGTTCAAGGATTTCTCTGCCTCAGCCTCGCCATCGTAGCTGGGATACAGGTGCCTGGCCACCATGCCCAGCTAATTTTTGTGTTTTTGGTAGAGATAGGGTTTCACCATGTTGGCCAGGCTGGTCTCAAACTCCTTACCTCGTGATCCACCTGCCTCGGCCTCCCAAAGTGCTGGGATTACAGGTGTGAGCCACCGCGCCAGGCATCTTTCTTTCTTCTTAAATAGTAGTTTTATTAAAATAGAATTCAAACAGCATAAAAGTCATCATTTTAAAGTATACCATTCTGTGGTTTTTAATCAATCTGTTAATATATTAGTTTGGAAAGTGTTGCTATCTTAGCAACATTGTCTTCCAACCATGAGCATGGGATATCTACTTTTTTAGGGCTTCTTTAATTTCTTTTAATGATGTTTTGGTAGTTGTTAATATACAGATCTTACACATCTTTTGTTAAATTTGTTTCTAAGTATTCTTTCTGGTGCTGTTCTAAATTATGTTTCTTGTAATAACATATAGTGTTACTCATTCAAACAATTCCTGCCATTTGAATGGAGTGTTTAAACCATTTAGTGTAATTGCTGATAACATTGAATTTATGTCTGCCATTGTACTATTTGTTTTCCATGGATCTTAATGTCATTTGTGTTCTTCTGTTCTTCCATTTTGCCTTCTTTTTCATTAATTTATTTTATCCTCTTTTAATTCTATTTTTATTTTATTATATTCTTTTGAGTTATTTTTTTCATGGTTGCCCTGAAAAGCAAGCTTTTCTGTGGATTTGCACCTCTCTCTATAGGAGACTCACTGGGCAAAGCTGAATGGCTGTGATTGAAAAGGAGGGGACAGAATGAAGATCGAGGGGACAGTTCGTTATCTCAGAATTGTCTGTGTTGATGGATTTATTCATTAACTTCTTGGTGGATTTTTTTTTAACAGAGTAAACCTCAGTTTTTTCTCCGGTGTTCCATTATGCTTCACAACTGTCTGACCGGATAAGATTTCTAATGTCAGTAGCCTTTCCTCTGGGCTTGAAGAAAGGCTTTGGACCCTGCTCTTTTCCTCCCTGCTGCTCTAACTGCCTGTGTTCTTCTCTTGTTTCCTAGGCATCCAGCACTCTGCTGACTCTGACATGCCCCCAGCATCCCCCAGCTCTGCAGGGAGCCCTGGTGCCGGAGACCTTCTCCCGCTTCTCCCTATGGGCGCCTGACCTGAGGGCAGAGCTGTCTGAGTGTGCATAAGCACAGTAGGACATCAGGACCTGGCCGGAAGACATTTCCTCTCCTCCCCTCTGGACGTCTCAGAGGTAACTTTGAATTTGGAATATGAAGGCTTGCCAACCTTCATTGATCTCTTCTTAGAGGAATCTCAGGTCATTGCTGGAAAAGATGGTAGGCCTGCCTGGGTGGATTTTTCTATACCTCTTAAGCCACACTATACAGGCAGTTTTCTAGTAGGCTTCCCTGGAATGAATTTTAAGATAGCGTTCAACACATTATTTTATGCCATTGTAGTTATTTATACTTTGGAAAGATTTCCAGGTTTGTTCATTTGCTGCTTATAACAATTTTTTGAGACTCCTGTTTTAGATCTCCCTGATTCACTAGAGAACACGTGGATTGGGCTCCCGCGTGTGCCAGGCACAGCTGTAACTCAGAACACAGTGAGGCAGCACCAGTTCCTGCTCGCATGGAGATTCTGTGTTTGTGGGGAGTACAGGTGGAGGATGGGGTTTGGGATAGGCAGGAAGAGACAGATAATTTTCATTTGACAGTAGCAGAAGCAAATTATATGCTATGCAACAAGCCCTAGATATTGTAGAGAAAAGAAAAAGTAGACTATTTAGTCCCGTTTAGTAGGATGGGGCAGGTTGCAGTTTTAAGTGGCGTGGTCAGGGAGGTCTCTAAAGGAGAAATTGAATATGGACTTTAAGGAGGTGCAGGAACTCGCCATTTAGCATCTGGGCAAGAGCGCTGCAGAGAGAAGGACTGGTGGCTGTAGCACACAGACAGCTGGAGGAGCACCCAGCCCAGCGTGGCTGGAAGGATGCAGCACAGAGCCGTGAGCTGGGACTGAGCGGGACATAGCAGGACCTGACTGTGCCTGCCATGGCAGGCTGTTGGGGAATTCTGGGTTCATGATGGGAAATCAGTGTAGGGTTTTAAGCAGAGAAGCAGGGTCTAATTCATTTTAATCAGCTTACTCTGGCCTCTACATTGAGAATAAACTGTAGAAGGTGGAGGAAAGGATAGAATCCAGGAGACCATCTTGGAGGATATTGCAGATGGCAGAAGACAAGGCTAGAGTCCAGGAGACCATCTCAGAGGACTTTGGAGAGAGTGGAAGACAAGGGTAGAGTTCAGGAGACCATCTCAGAGGCCATTGCAGAGGGTAGAGGACAAGACTGGAGGCCAGGAGACCATCTCAGAGAACTTTGGAGACGGTAGAGGACAAGGCTAGAGTCCAGGAGACCATCTCAGAGGTCATTGTAGAAGGTGGAAGACAAGGCTAGAATCCAGGAGACCGTCTCAGAGGATATTGGAGAGGGTGGAGGACAAGGCTAGAGTCCAGGAGATGATCTCAGAGGACATTGTAGAAGGTGGAGGACAAGGGTAAAATCCAGGAGACCATCTCAGAGGACATTAGAGAGAGTGGAGGACAAGGGTAGTGTCCAGGAGACCATCTCAGAGGATGTTGGAGAGGGCGGTGGAAAAGAGTAAAATCCAGGAGGCCATCTCAGAGGTCACTGGAGAATTCTACTTTAGTAATCCAGACAAGACACAGTGGGGCACACTCTGCAGATAGCAGCAGCAGCAGCAGGGAAAAGTGGCCACTTTTCTGGATACAGTTTGAAGAGAAAGCCCTTACCATGTCCTTCCGGAGTGCTTGTGAGTATGAGGAAAAGGGGAAAGTCTGTAACGATTCCAGGGACTTTAGTTTGAGTAACTAGATGGAATTGTCACCAGTGGAGATGGAGTCGGTGGCAGCCAGAGAAGGTTTGGGTGCAAAAAGGGATTCAGAGGCTGGGCACGGTGGCTCACGCTTGTAATCCCAGCACTTTGGGAGGCCGAGATGGGTGGATCACTTGAGGTCAGGAGTTCGAGACCAGCCTGGCCAACATGGCAAAACGCCGTCTCTACTGAAAATATAAAAATTAGCTGAGAGTTGTGGCAGATGCCTGTAATTCCAGCTACTCAGGAGGCTGAGTCAGGAGAATCTCTTGAACCTGGGAGACGGAGGTTGCAATGAGCTGAGATCACGTCATTGCACTCCAGCCTGGATGACAAAAGCGAGACTCCGTCTCAATTAAAAAAAGAGATTCAGAGTTCAGTTCTGAACTTGCTGAGTGTGAGAAGATTATAAACCACCCACATGGAGATGCCGAGTGGGTGATCCTATCCAGAGCTGGTCGTTTAAGAGGGCGGTCTGTGCCGGAGATGTGATGGGAGTCTTTGGCCTCTGGTTGGTATTTCAAGGAATACGATCAGATGAGATCCCCAGTGAAAGAAGAGAGGAGTTGTATGGACAGGGCCCTGGGGCATTCCAGCTTCATGAGGAGCAGAAGAGGACAAGCCAGCAAAGGAGAACAAGAGGGAACAACCAGGGAGGAAGTGGGGAAACCAGGAGCATGGAGAGGACTGAGAATGGAGGCTCAGGTCAGTGCCGGGGCCAGTGGTCCGGTGGCTGTGGCCACACATGCTGGATTGGAGAGAAGAATGCAGGGGAGATAGTGGATACAGGGATTGTAGACAACTCAGTTGAGCTTTGCTGCAAAAGGGAGCAGAGTTTGAGGTGGTATCTGGTGGGGTAAAGAAGCTCAGTAGAATTGTTTTTCAGTTGGAAGCATTATCAGCATGTTTAGATGCCGATGGGAGTGATTGAGTAGAGAGTGAAATATTGATTATGTGGGCTGGAGGGTTGCTGAAAACACCTCTTGAGTAGGCGAGAGAGATGGGTTTGTGGACAAGTGGAGTCACTGGCTTTAGGAGGAACATGGACAGTTGCCAGTGGGGATGGACCAAATGACGGATACATGCATGGGTGGTGCTCAGAGGAGGAGGCTCTGCAGTTCTCTTCTGATTGCCGACCTTCCTTTGTGAAATGGGAGTCAAAGCTAGCATCTGAGCATGCCACATGGAGGAGGGATTGGAAGTCTCCAGAGACCAGGAGGCAGCAGAAAGTCCTCTAGAGAGGCGGAGGTGCAGAGCGGTCATCTGAAGCTTTCCCAGCCCTCTCGAAGCCCTGGCCGCAGACTGAAGGAGCCACTCTGGTGACTGCACGCTTCTCTAGATAGCCCTGCTGGGGAGCTGACGCGTGCAGATCAAGAATTGAGTGATCGTTTGGCCAAGCTGAGGGGGACACAGTGAAAGAGTGGCTGGAGTTGGTAGTGTGTGCCGGGGAGAGAGGATCCTAATCTCAGAGGGCACTGAGACAGGGAAGTGAGGAGCGAGGACAGCAGGGCTGAGGGAGGAAGGAGCAGAGGAGGAGCCATTGGAGATGCGGGAGGAGGCCGAGCACTGTGGGGCCGGGGCGATGGAGAAGGGACCTGCAGTGGCACAGGCAGGGATCTGAGGTGGTGTGAGGAATCCGGAATGTGGGGTGTCTGCGAGTGCCGCGGGTTCCAGTGTTCCTCCCAAAAGCTCGGCTTCTTAGTCATCCTGCCTCACGTTTTCATTGTCCGTACTTTAAAAGGGCTGCTGGAGAGATCTGCCCCTCCACTTACCCAATTGCCTACTTACCCCTTTGGTGGGTAATTGCTAAGGTGAAAAGGCATTGCTAAGGTGTCACTGTTGCATTTCCTGGCTGGGGCACTGTGGCCCCGATGTGGCCACCAAGAAAGCTGACATCTGAAGTTTCCCCTCCCACCTTCTCTTCCATTCCTTGGAAAATAAATGCATTCTAACTTTATGTTTATTTTTTAATCTTAACATTAACATACTAGGATTACTGCATCTTTCCCTGCAGTGCTTTTGCTGGTCCCGAGATAGGGCCTCCTCAGGTGTGAGGGAGACAGTAAAGAACCCTGGAGAAAACTCATGATGAGGCCAGGTGGAATTCTGTGTTCTCTCTGTTGGCCACGCCCACCTCCCGGGACGCTCTGTTTGGGAATCTGTCTCAAACAAATTCCAAGAACTGTGAAATGGCCTCATATTCACAAAAGAGTCATGGTGAAATGGCCAAAATACTAGAAAATGACATTCCAGTGTGAGCAAAGATGTTTATAAATGTTCGGGATTTATAAAGAGAGATGATTTTCATGGACTGTAAACCAGCCTCAGTCCAGCCTTCTATGACTGATGTAGCTAAATCTGAAATACAGGTTTTTATTCTGTTTGGTTTTGTTGTTTTGTTTTTCCCAAGTGGGAAATATCAGTAGTTTAAAAAGAAAAGAAATCGTCGGTTAAAAACTTGGCCTCAGCCCTGGCCATCACTCAGCCTTGGGACCGGCCACGTTTGGGAACTGCAGCTTTGTGTGGCCGGCTCATTGCTGGTCTGCCTTTGGCTAGTTGGCCTTTAGGGCAAAGGTCGTTTTTAAAGCATGAACTGGAAGCGAAAAGATCGATACCTTGCTCTAGTTCCTCCTGGTTTCAGAGTTCCTGACGTGGAGAAATGAGCAGTATTTTTAGAAATGGAAACAGAGATGCTCTTCTGAGATGCAGCGGCTGATGGTATCGTTAAAAACCAATCGTAACCACATTTTCCACATTTAGCTCAGTTACAGTTTTCTGGGGTTTGTTTTCTTTTGTTTTTCAGCACTTTGGGCCATTTTCCTCCGTGTTCTGTGCTCTAGGCTATGGTGTTAAGTCAGTCTGTTGTGGGTCACTCTTCTCTGAGCCTTCCGGGTGTGTATACTTGCCAAACTGGAGGGGCCAGAGAACTACTGGCAAGAGAACAGCAAGTGCCTGTTTGCTATGGCAGTAAGATTTCTCTAGAAAGATCAAGTCGGCATTTAATGAGCACCCATGATGTGCAAGGTCCCATGCTTGAGGCCCCCAGGATAAATGAGGAGACACAGGCCGACTTCTGTTTGTAAGATTGTGGGTTTTTTTGTTGATTTTCTTTTTTTTTTTTTGGGGTAATGTTGACAAGCTGAGGATGTGGACTCCAGTTCCCAAAACTTGGGCACAGGCCAGAGTAAAACTAAGACAATGGGAAATGGGTGCTGACTGTTAGAAGAATTCTCACAACCAAGGCAGTTCTGAGCCTGCTGTGAGGAAAGAGGTGAGGAGAACCTGGGGCCTGGAACAGCAGGGCTGGGGGGCCGCTTGGAGCCTGGAGTCTGAAGATTTCCTGTCGGGAGGAGGT